GCAGGTCTGCGGGAAGATGATCCCTAATCTGCCACACACGAAAAGCCTAAGACAAGGACCTTAAAGCTATTAAAGCCCCAGCACCCTGGAGAAGCCATTACCACCAGGAATGAGGCAGCTGGAAGATCTACCAGCTCCCATCCAGGCAGACCCACCAAGGTCTGGCACTTCACACTGATCCATGCAGGAGGAGCCCTGGAGTTCACTACAGCTGGTGGAAGTCTGAGGGGTTGTATCAGCAGTAATTCAGGATTATTTTTCCCACAGGGCTATGACTCTATGAGCTGGCACTGCAATGGGGTCTCTGATTAGCACACAGAAGGGGAAAGCTGAAACAGTCTTGAGTGCCAGTAACCCCAGTCCTAAAGCCACCTTCAGTCCTTCATTACTGTTGAGGAAGAGATTAACACCTGAAATATTCATGTTGCACTTCCAGATCCATCCCAGTGGAATTTACACGTGCACTCACTGCCCCACAGACCCAACCAGAACGACCACTACAATGGATGTATTTGTGCTCTTTTACAAAGCTTCCAACGACTCATTCTTCCTCTTTAAACCAACAATTGAACTTTCCCTTTGGAAAAAAGAAAAAAAAACCCTCCAGATCAGCAGCACAGACACAACCTCAGAGCTGCAACAGGGGCCTAATGGGGCTCCAGCAGCAGAATCCAGGACCAGCTTGAAGGACAGGGTGGCTGCAAACATCACTAGAACTTCCATGACAGCTCCTCTGGAAAAGGAAAGGAACAGTTGGATGTGTTTCCAGCTCCTTCTCCTCAGGTACCACAGGTACCAGGCTCCTTTTCCACTAGTACCAAAGCTGAAGGAGCAACCTTCAGGCTCCATGTGGGTGCAGGAGAGTCCTTCAGCCCAGCCTGATCCAGCTCTGCTCCGACACCACTCGCCAGCCACAGCGGTTGAGCCAGCACCAGGAATTCCAGGATGGCTGCACCAGGACCTCTGCTTTCCATTCTTTTCCACATGAGCTGCTCAAGACAAGACGAAGTCCACCCTAATTGGTATTTCAGAGGGAAAGCCAGCACACCAGAAGCAAAATAATGCTCCTGGATATTCCCAGGCTCTGGAGTTTGGTCAGCACACCTTAAAATACGGGCCATAATTTATTCCTTTTAACTCAACCTCTGCTCATTAGAAGGAGCTTGTCTTAAAAGTGATTTCACAAGAGGCCTTTTGTCAAATTTACACTGGCATTTGTCAGTTTGAGATTAAGCCCTGTGTTCACCAACTTGATACCCCGCTCACACTAAAGCATAAATTAACATTTTAATGGAGCTCCAATCTATTGGAGGCCCCTTCACTACAAGCTCATTATATTTCACCTCCCCAAAATTCCCTTTCCCTGCTTTGCTGAGCCAGGGGCAGGCTTTAGGACAGACTCCAGCTTTCCCTATCAAAGGGAAGAAGCTTTTTCCTCCTAAGCCGTTCCTCCACCTCAAAGGAAGAGCCTTGAAAGGAATGAAAGCAACTGGGAAAGTTGGGTGTCCCCTACAGCAGACGCTCCCACACCTTACCCATTTCCTTTGTGCCCCATTCCAGGTTTGCTACCCTTCTTCCCAAACCCAAAAGAGGGGGATGATAATCCAGCTCTGCCTTCGATGGGCTCCTGAGTCGCAGCCCCATCAATCCCAGCACCCAAACCACGGGAGGAAACGCGTGGATTTCTATTTTATCTCCATCCCCAGGGCAAGTGGGGGAAATCCCTCCCGGGCCAACCCCAAAGCAATCCCTTTGTCCAGCCATCTTTTCCCACCAACAGGAAGGAACAAAAGCAGGAAAGGGCAAGTTGCACAAGGAGGAAAACCTCTCCACCATATTGGATTTTCTTTCCCCCTTCTCCAAACAATGCCTCGCATTTGTAACCTGCAATCCGCCCTCCCGTGGCATCTCCCGGCCTCCGGGGATGCAGGAACCGGGAGAAATCCTCCCGCAAACCTCCCGGGCAGCGGCACTGCCATGTTTTTTTCCCCAGGGCTGCCTGCGGCGCGGGCTGCATCCTCCACAATAGGACAAAGCCCCACCACGGCTCATCCCCCTCCCTCCGCCGCACCCCCATCAGCTGTCAGCTTTCCTTAGGGATCACCGGGATGCAGCGACATCGCAGGAAAGTTTTGGGGTTTTTTTTTTGGAGGGGGGAATAAGGGAAATTTGACAGGCTCGCCAGCCTCCCATCCCCCTCCTGCTGCAGTCAGGGCTGGATGGAGCCGAAGGCTGCAAAGGCGGAGCGGGAATGGGGATGGAGAGGGGGGGGATAACCACGGCTGCCTCCACCCTGCACGGACCTGCAGCCACGTTAGGTTTGTGGTGCGGGGGGGAGGAGATGCGTGAAGGGAAAAAAATAAAGTAATAATTAAAAAAAAAAATAAAATGCAATAAATGCCCGTCGGCGTTTTATTGTCCGAGTCTCCCCACGCCCTCCCTCCGCAAAACAACCGCATTTCCTGGGGCCCCCTGGGAACGGCGGGGATCGGGGACAGGTTTGGAATTTGTAATTCCAAACACGAGGAGCTGTTGTAAAATAGATATATAAATCATATAAAAACCCCACCCGGGGATACAGCGAGGGATGGGGAGAAGGATGCGGGGTGGGGGTGGGATTGGAGCTGCGGGGTGCTGTGAGAGTGAATGATGGGGAAATGAACCAGGGGTTCCCGGGGGGGTCGCACACACCAGACCCCCGGGGGATGCTGAGGGGTGGAGGGGGAGGGAGGATACCAGGCTGGGCTGGGGATGAATGGGAAAGGCTCCAGGGTGGGGGAGGGAATGAAGCCGAGGGGCTGCTGTGATAACTAATGATAGGAGAAAGCACCCAGGGGGGTCACACACACCAGACCCCCCCCGGTAATTTTGGGGATGGAGACGGGGAGAACCCAGAGAGAGGCGAGGGGGCTACCGTGGACAGGTGACAGCTGAAGAAAAGGACCTGAAAGGGGCGAGTGGGGCGATAATCAGGTGAGAGATTGGGGAGGGGACGGCACACCCTGGGGGAGGGGATAAAGACCTGAGCGCCCGAGGCGGGGGGGGTCTCAAACCCAGCCTGTGGAGGGGAGGATCAGGTGATAGACGGGCAAAAGGACAGCGGCGCCGGGCTGGGTGAGGGATGGGGAAGGGGGTCAGCCGCAGGAGCCGGGGGGGGGGGCGGCGGGGCGGGGCAGGGCGGCGGCCGCCCGCAGCAGGCCCGAGGCGCGAGCGGGCGGCGGCTGCTCCTCACCGTGAGGCCGGTGCCCAGCACGATCACGTCGTACTCCTCATTCATGGCGGCGCGCGGTGTCTCGGGGGGGTCTCTCGGCCGGGGCTGAGGCGAACCGGGCGCTACGCGGGGGCCGCGGGAGCGCGAGAAAATGGAGCCGCCGCCGTGAGGGGACCGCGCCGGGAGGGGCGGGGCCGGGCCGCCCGCGCCCCGCCCACGCGCCTGCCAATCACAGCGCGCTTCGCCACGCCATTGGCTGGCGGCGCCGTCACTCAAGGGGCGGGAGCGCTGCGCGCGCGAGCGGCGCTGCCACCGTGGTGGGGGCGCGGCGCGCATGCGCAGTTCCATGGACGCCCCTATGGGCTCGGACTCTGTGGGGGGGGGGTCCTAAATTTGGGTTTTCTCCTTAATTTATGGGGTTCTTCAATTTGAGGGGCTCCTTTATTTACTTGGCTGGGGGCTTCAGTTTAGGGAGCCCTCAATTTGGGGGATTCCTCATTTGGGAGAGTCCTTTATTTGGGGTGGTCTCAGTTTAGGGGGGCCCTTTCATTGGGAATTTCGTGGATCCTCAGTTTGGGGGATTCCTCAGTTTAGGGAATTTCCTCTACTTGGAGGGGGCCCTCGGTTTATGGGGGATTTGTTATTTGACCTAGGTTTGGTGGGGTCCTCAGTTTTGGTAGGCTCCTTAACTTGGGGGGTTCTTCTATTTGGGGTATTCATCATTTTGGGAGAGTTTTCAATCTGTGGGGTTCTCCATTTAAGGGGTCCTCAATTTGGTGGTTTTTCCTCCATTTAGGGGAGGAGCCTCTTTTTGGGGGATTCTTAATGTTGGGGGACCTCTCATTAGTGCGGGATACAGTTTAAGGGGCTTCTCTGTTTGGGGCAAATCACCTGTTTGGGGGATCCTTAAATTTAGGGGTTCTCTGGGAGCATCCTCAATTTAGGGAGGTCCTTAAATTAGGGTGGGTTGTCAGTTTAATGGGGTCCTTAAATAAAGGGGTTCCTCAGTTTAGGGGGGTTTAATTGGGCCCCCCAATCCCCCCACATCTGATGCTTTTCCATCCCATCCCAGACACCCCACGCACCACTTTTGATGGGAAGTTTGCTAACTATCCCAACAAACACCCCTAATTAGGCTGCATTTCTACTCCCCAAAATCCTGTTTGGGAAAAAACGGGAAGGAAAAATTTTTGGAAAAAAACTCACCTGAATTCCCTGGGGGAATTTTGCAGGCATAAAGCTGAATTCACATTCCTTTTCTAACCCTCAAAATAATGCACGTTCCCCTTGGTGTTTTGAAATGTGTTTCCATGTTTTTAAGGAGTTTCCCCATTGTGTTGCCATGGATATTTGGGAACATTCCCACTGTTTTATTTTTTCCCATCAGTAATATTGGGAGGACACAGCTATTCCATGGTTTATTAAAATGATAAAAAGTGAGAATGAAGTAGCTCCTTGCATTTCCTGCTGTAGAGAGGCCAGAGCTGGATTTATGGATTTAAGGATCCATAGATCCTTAAATTTTAGGGTTTTTTAAAATTTTTTTATTCTTTTTAGAGGGATAAAATAATTTCCTCACCCCACCCAGGGGCTGATCCAAAATTCCTGCTTCTGGGATAGCAAGGTGGGAATTTCCCACTCAAACCCAGCATTGAGCACCATGGTTCATGGTGCACACCTTAACTCATTCCCTTCCTGATTTTTAACATCTTCCATCCCCAAAAAAAGCAGAATTCCATCGGTTTTTAACTCTTGGCATTACAAATAGACAAGGACACATCACTTTTTGATGGAATTTATAATTCCAGCTGCACAAATCAACAGCTGCAGCTGCTCTTACCTTGCTGGGTATTCCAGGTTTCCGAGAGCAGATTATTGGGATTTAAAGTTCATCAGTGCTGGGAATTGCCCAGCATTCCAGTCTGGAATAAAGCTCCTCCTTATTTCAGTCTGATCCAGAGATCCCTGATGTCCTCACAAGGTTGAGGTCCCACTAGAGATTCCTGCAGGTTTTGGGATCAGCTGTGGGCTACAAAAAGGTTGATGCAGCTTCAAGAGTCTCTGTCCTACCCAAAGAGGTCAAATTACACATTAAATTGCAAATTAAAGCAATTTAAGGGATTGGTGGAAAGCAGGTCCATGAAGAGCTAGAAAAGCCATGATCCAGGTGGATCTTCTCCATGGGGATGTTCAGGGTGTGGAAATTCCCAGGAAAAGCCATGAGGATCCCTGGAAGTGGCACTTCCCTTGGATGGTTCTGTTTCAGGGAGCTGCACAGGAAGAGGTGAAAGAGGAAAATAAATTTATAATGATATATCAGAAGAGGAATGTGATAAAAACATGGAATTGGACCATCTCATAAAAACATGGACCTTAAAGACCATCTCATTCCAATGGGCAGGGACACCTTGCACTATCCCAGGCTGCTCCAACCTGGCATTGGACACTTCCAGGCATGGAGCAGCCACAACTTTTTTGGGAAACCTGTTCCAGGGTCTCCCCACCCTCCCAGGGAAGAGCCCAGACCCATCACCTCCATTATCATTTGAGATAATCCTATTTGAGATAATCCTATTTAAAACATTTCTCCTAAATCTACTCCCAAAGGCCAAGCTTGGCTCCTCTGCTCAATATTGGGAAAAAATCCTTGCTTTAGGAGGAGTTTTTTATTTGGGGACAGACCTTGGTTTGGGGGGGGTTCTCAGTTTTGGTGGGCTGCTTAACCTGGGGAAGTTCTTCTGTTTAGGGTATTCATAATTTTGGGGGAGTTTTCAGTCTGGGGAGGGGTGTCTTCCATGTAGAGGGTCCTCAATTTGGGGGGTTTTCCTCAATTTGGGGGGTTTTCCTCAATTTAGGGGGTTTCCCTCCATTTAGGAAAGGATACTCTATTTGGGGGATTCTTAATTTTGGGGGTTGTCATGGTTTGACACGGGAAGAGAATTTTTCAGAAGGAAGAGGTTCACCAGTCAGGGGTCAGGTTTAGATACTGACACTTGGGGTGACCAATTGAAGGTGGACACGCCTCTGAGAACACAGAGGGGTTAAAAGCGGAATTCCCAGGAGGACTCGTCCTTCTTTGGTTCCGGTCATTGCATGATACGGACCTCCCCTGCCCAGCCCGGGCTGGGTGGGGGAGGGGAGCCATGCGGCCTGCACAGGTAGGCCAGGAGGTAAAGGATCGGAACCGGCTGGGTCAGCTCCTGCAGATGGAAGGGTGGAGAAATCTGGGATGTCTCCGTTCCCCCCGCCCAGAGTCTCTGTCTCTCCCAAGAGAGAAAAAGAGACTGCGGTGGTTTTATCGGCAGTTCGCCGCAGGGAAGGAGAAGAGCGGGGGGGCCACAAGGTGCCCAGCCACCTGTGGGAGCTGGAGCCTGGGCAGCGAGCCATCCTTGGGAGTTGGGACTTTTAACCCTTCCTGAGAAATGAAGGCTTTATGAAATATTACTCCTCCTGAATTTGAAGAAAAGAGAGACAGCTTGAAACCTCAGATGTTTAGAGAAGAAGGTTGGGGGCAGATGATAGAGTGGCTTTTTGGCTGGACTCTTCTTGTTTACCATAGACTGAACCACTCTTTCTTTCAAGAGGGACTGCATTTTAGGGGGATGCATTGGTGAACCAAGAGACCTTCTGCAGCAACTACCAGTTTTGGAGTGGACAGAGAGAGAGCTGAGGAGGGTGTGAGGATGCCCTCCATCTTCAGGAAGAAGAGAAGGCGATCTCTGTCCTTGGTCCCTCGGCCCCAGGGGACAATGGGGGGACTCTAGTCCCAAATTGTGATACTGGACTGTTGTTCCTGGTGGTCCTTGGCAAAGCATCCTTAAAGGGGCCCTATAAGCAGTCTCTGTCCATGCCCGGTGGTGAGAGCACTGTGACATGGAGAAGAGAGTGTCACACTGGCCGGTGTGTCTGGGCGATGCCACGTGTGACATTGGAAACACAAAAGGTGGCAGTTGTGTTTCCTGGGGGTCTATGGTTGCAAGGGGGACTCCTCTCTTCCCCGATGGGCTCAGTATTGATTATATTGAAGGGTGAAAACTTGATTAAGGATCCAAATGGGTCTCGCTGGGGTTTGGTGGAGTTGGGTGGAGGGAGGAGAGATGTTTTGGAAGGTTTTCATTTCGAATTTTGTGTGGTTTTTTTTTTTCTTCCTTTCTTTTCCTTTTGTAGTAGTAGTAGTAGTAGTGTAATAAAGCTTTTTCTTTTGTTATTAAGTTTGGCCTGCTTTGCTCTGTTCTTGATCACATTTCACAGCATTTGATTGGTAAGTTGTATTTTCATGGGGCGCTGGCATTGTGCCAGCGTCAAACCATGACAGGGGTCCTTTCATTAGTGGGGGATACAATTGAATATTGGGGGTCCTCTCGTTAGTGGGAGTTCTCTTTTTGGGGCAAGTCCCCCTATTTGAGGGATCCTTAATTTCAAGAGGCTCCACACTTTTGGGGACCAATCTGGGGATTTTAATCAGCCGTTTCCCTAAATCTGGGAAGGAATAACCAATGTACCATGCGAAAAAGGAGCCGGTTCCTCTTCTTCAGGTGCTGACTTGTGTTCCCTGGAAAAGCTGGATGACATCAGGTCTCCTGGCCAGCTGCTGGGCCAGTGTTCCCGTGGCATCAGGAGCATCCTGGAGCCCGGCCCGCAGCAGGATCCCGGTGGCCACCACGTGCTGCCCGGCGCTGGCCACGTGCAGGGCTGGGGGACACAACAGCAGCTGGGGTCACCTCATCCTGCTCTTCATGGAAACCAGACCCCGTGGGAATAAACAGGTGGAGGGTGAAAAATGAGTTCTGCCAGCGTGGGATTACAGAGTGGTTTGGGGTTTTGGGTTGGGATAAATCGCAGGGTTAAAGTTGGGATCACTGAGTCTGATCTTAAAGATCGTCCACTTCCACCCTCCTGCCATGGGCAGGGATCTTCCAACCATCCCAGGCTGCTCCAGCCCGTGTCCAGCCTTTCCTTGGACATTGCAGGGATCCAGCTGCTCTGGCAATCCCAGCCCAGCCAGGAATTCCTCATTCCCAAGATCCCATCCATGGCTGCCCTCTGGCAGTGGGAGCCATTCCCTGTGTCCTGTCCCTGCAGGCCTTGTCCCCAGTCCCTCTGCAGCTCTCCTGGAGCCCCTTCAGGCCCTGGAATGTGCTGGAAGCTCTCCCTGGATCCTTCTCCTCTCCAGGAGAACATTCCCAGCTCTCCCAGCCTGGCATTGGATCCATCTCCTCTCCAAGAAATTCATGGACCCAGGGGCTTCACTTGGAATCTCAGGAAGCCATGAAGGGTTTCCCTTCCCTCTCCCTCTCTTTTCAATCCCCATTTTCCATAAAAATCCCTCGGGATGGATCCTGAGTGTCCCAAATCCCAGGATCCTGGACCAGTTTGGGTGGGAAGGGACCTCAAAGCTCATTCCAGGGACACCTGCCATGATCTCAGGGTGCTCCAGTCCTTCCTTGGGCATTCCAGGGATCCAGGGGCAGCCCCAGCTGCTCTGGCAATCCCAGCCCAGCCCCTCCTCACCCTCACTGTAAAAAAAACCTTCCATCTAATCCAAAGGAGGCATCCTGATCTCTCTGGATAATCCTGATGTGGATGAGAAGCTTCCCAAGGACGCAGTGACCCAAACCCAGCCAAGGAGGAGCCACAGGAAAAAACATCCCAGGGTTGGATGAGCTCAGCAGAGCTTGGATTTAGTCACTGAGGGGGCGGAGGGAGAGATGGCACCGCTAAAACGTGGCTTTAACCAAACCCCAGGGCTGGGGAATTTGCCAATTTTGGTGATGGCTGAAACAAATTTGTCTTTTTTTTTTTTAATATTTAATTTTTTTGGGGGGGAGATGCTGATGCAAGAGCTGCCTGAGCCTTTCCTGCTGGGAATGCCGACTCTCCAGCATCGCTATAGCAACTCCATTTCCGTGCCAGCTCTCTGGTATTATTTGCTCATCAGCCATTTCCAGGCTGTTTGCTAAGGAATTGAGGCTGGAGAGCTCAATCCTTGTGTTTGTCCATCCAACCTGCTTCCAACAGGATCATTCCAGCCAAATTTGAGGCAGCATCGGAGATCCTCAGGTGGAAAATTAGCAGGAAATTCCCAATTCCCAATTTGGGTCTCTGTTCTTCCCCCAAGGGAAAAGCCCCAGCAGAAATTCCAGCAAACTGGAATGCAAAATGCCCAAAAAAATCCTGGGATAATCCATCATGGTACTCCCAGAGCAAAGGTATCCATGGATTTGGCATCTCCTTGCACACTGAGGTTGGGATGTGCTTATGGAAGCTCTTGGTGTCACATAAAGGTTGGAAAACCAGCTTGGAATTCTCACCAGAACGGCCCTTCCCATCCTTAGCCTGGAGATCAGCACCGAGGGACAGCAGGGTCTGGATGGTGTGTCCATGTCCTTCCTGCAGAATGTGGAATTTGGGATCAGCTCTGTGCTTGGATCCATTCCAAACCTGGGATTGCACAGATCTGCTCTGTCCTGGTCAGGTCTGGGGGTACCAGGAGCTCCAGAGGATCTTGGAGCTGATGGAAATCAGGGTCAGCTGCCTTCAGATCAGATCCATAAGGCAGCAATTGTTATCCCATGGGAATCCTGTAATCCCATGGGAACTGCCCAGAAAGGTGCCACCAGGCACCTTCCTAAAATCCCAGAATGGTTTGGGCTGGAAAAAATCCTTAAAGATCATCCAATTCCAACTCCTGCCACGGGAAGGGACACCTTCCCTATCCCAGGGTGCTCCAGCCTTTCCTTGGACATTGCAGGGATCCAAGGGCAGCCCCAGCTGCTCTGGCAATTCCTCATTCCCAAGATCCCATCCATGGCTGCCCTCTGGCAGTGGGAGCCATTCCCTGTGTCCTGTCCCTGCAGGCCTTGTCCCCAGTCCCTCTGCAGCTCTCCTGGAGCCCCTTCAGGCCCTGGAATGTGCTGGAAGCTCTCCCTGGATCCTTCTCCTCTCCAGGGGAACATTCCCAGCTCTCCCAGCCTGACACTGGATCCATCTCCTATCCAAGAAATTCATGGACGCAGGGGCTTCACTTGGAATCTCAGGAAGCCATGAAGGGTCTCCCTTCCCTTTCCCTCTCTTTTCTATCCCCATTTTCCATAAAAATCCCTTGGGATGGATCCTGAGTATCCCAAATCCCAGAATCCTGGACTAGTTTGGGTGGGAAGGGACCTCAAAGCTCATTCCAGGGACACTTGCCATGATCTCAGGGTGCTCCAGTCCTTCCTGGGACATTCCAGGGATCCAGGGGCAGCCCCAGCTGCTCTGGCAATCCCAGCCCAGCCAGGAATTCCTCATTCCCAATCTCCCATCCATGGCTGCCCTCTGGCAGTGGGAGCCAATCCCTGTGTCCTGCCCCTCCATCCCTTATCCCAGGTATCTCTCCTGGAGCCCCTTCAGGCTCTGGAAGGGGCTCTGAGCTCTCTCCATCTCTGAGTTTCAAATCCCTCCAATTCCCAGGGGATCTGGAGTGGATTTTTCTGGGGTTACTCCCAGCTCCAGGAGCAGAACCTGTTGCCCATCTCCCTCCCTCAGGCACAGGCATTTCCCAAAGAATTCCTCCAGGATTTGTGATGCCACGGGTGAAGACCCAGCTAGCTGCAATCCACTGTGTCCTCCCTCCTTCCTCTGCCAGGAACCAATTTCAAATTCCACAGAGAAAAACCCAGCACAACCCCCACCTCCTTCCACCCTGCACAGGCTTGTCCAGAAATAAATCCTTTCTCCCTAAATAACACGCCTGATTTTGGAATTACATCCTCAATGCCATGAATTAGTCTTTGTCCTGCAGCCTGGGAATGGAAAGCTCTTATTTTTATCCCACCCCCCTCACCCTCTCTTTTTCCCTATTCCTATAGGATTCCACAGCATCTTCCCTGATCACAAGGCTCCCATTTCCCTGCAAACCCAATTCCATGGCAAAGCCACTGAGCCAGGAACTGCTGCAGCTGCCACAGCCCTGGCAGCAAATTGAATTTACAAAATAATTTGATTTTTATGTGTTTATAAATGCAAAAGAATAAGAAAAGAGAGAGATAAAAACACAACCCACCAGACAAACAAATGGTGCTGTAAATACAAAGCGACACCGAGCCTGGGCAGGGAAGGGAGAGAATCCCATTCAATCATTCCCAAATCAGCCAGGAGCTGGGATTTTCTCCAAGGCACATTATATTTTCCCCAGAGCCTTGCTGTTCAACGTACCCTTGGCAACCAGAAGGGCTTTCTGGGAGCAGGAGGCCAGGAAAATGGGAGAAAGGGCTCCTTTGTGGCACGGCTGGATGGTGCCAGCATTCCCAGGGAGTGGCACGGATGCTTTTGTAGGAGCAGGGCACTGGGATGAGGTTTTATTCCCACCACAAGGCTCAGAGTGCTGTTAAAATCCCGGGTTTAACATCCCTGGGTCTGAGCAGGGACATTCCTGTGCTGCCAGCTGGATGCCAGGAGGGATCCTGGTCAGCAGGGAAGTTTTGGGATCTGCTCTGCATTCCCAAGGAATGTTGCAGGACCCACAGCTCTGCTCCCCACACGGGCTGGGAGGAGGAGAAAGCTCCAATGGTTCTAGAATTCAAAACAACTCTGGTGTGAAGGACACAGATAAAATTCTGGGAGCTCCCCCTGCCTTCCCAGCTCTCCCACTTCTGGACATGTCCTGTCCCTCCTCTGCAGGCAGCTGGACACAAACATGGAATTGCTGGGGTGGGAAGGACCTCAGAGCCCCTCCAGTGCCACCCTGCCATGGCAGGGACATCTCCCACTGTCCCAGGCTGCTCCAGCCCCAGTGTCCAGCCTGGCCTTGGACATTCCAGGGATCCAGGGGCAGCCCCAGCTGCTCTGGCAATCCCAGCCCAGCCAGGAATTCCTCATTCCCAATTTCCCATCCATCCCTCTGGCAGTGGGAGCCATTCCCTGTGTCCTGTCCCTGCAGGCCTTGTCCCCAGTCCCTCTGCAGCTCTCCTGGAGCCCCTTCAGGGCCTGGAATGTGCTGGAAGCTCTCCCTGCATCCTTCTCCTCTCCAGGGGAGCACCCCCAGCTCTCCCAGCCTGGATTCCTGGGAACTGAGGGGCTCCAGCCCTGGAGCAGCTCTGTGCACTCCTCTGGGCTCTCTCCAGCAGCTCCAGGTCCTGCTGTTGGCTCCAGGGCTGGGATCTGGTGCTCCAGGTGGGATCTCACCAGAGCAGAGCAGAGGGGGAAAATCCCACCCTCACCCTGCTGCCCACATTTCCTTTGATGCCCAGAAAACAGGGAATGAGACTGGTCAGGAGCAGATGGACAGTGGCAAAGGATGAACCAGGAATGCAAGTCCTCCATGGTGGCCAACACCTGATGCAGCCTGGTTTAGGTGCCTGGCACAGGCTTTTCCAAGGGAATTTGGGAGCAGGGACAAACCTTGGCTGCGTAGTGCAGGGCTGGCAGCTGCAGGGACGTCGCTCTGGCGTTGACATCCACGCCCAGCTCGGACACCAGGAACTGGATGGAGCCATCCTGGGCTGTCACAGCTGCCCTGTGCAGGGCCTGGGCACCCAGGGCATCCACAGCTGTGGGACAGGCCTGCAATTAGGGAATATCATGGGAATAACACAAAGTGTACTCATCCCCAATCTGATCAGCACCACCAGGAAACCTCCACGAGGTTTCCCACCTCTCCCACCCGCAGTGCTTGGAATGTGAGGTTAAAACCACAACAAACTTCCCAAACTTCCCAATCCAGAAAACAGGATTTCCTTTTCCTTAGGACATCCAGGATCTGACCAATGCCTCTGGGAGAGTCAGCCATGATGGGACCCCAAACAGTTTGGATCAATCAGCAGTCAATCAATAAATGATTGATTGCAGTTGTCTGGTTCCTGCTGTGCACAATTGGCTCTAATGGCATTCCCTGGAGGAAATCAGGGATTTTTGGGAGCCAGCACAGGAGCAGGAGCTGCCAGGAGAGAGGGAGGGCAGGGAGGAGCTCTGGATAACTCATGGATGGAGATTTCCATGTTATCCACAGCCACTCCTGGCATTCCAAGAGCTGCTTTTGTCTCTGCCACAGCTGCCCCTGGAGCGCTGGGAATGTCCTGTCCCCTCCTGGTGTCACCATCCCACTCCACCAGCTCTGGGGACACGTTTACCACAAAAACTGTGGCTGTCCCTGAATCCCTGGAATGTCCAGGTTGGACAGGGCTTGGAATCACCTTGGATAATGGAAGATATCCCTGCCCATGGCAGGGGTGGAATGACATGATTTTTAAGGTCCTTCCAACCCAAACCATTCCATGATTCCTGCCACAAGAGCTGATTCCTTACAACCTCACTCAGGCAAATCCTTCTCATCTCCAGGGTGAATTTGCTATTTTTTTTACACAATTTCTTTCTCTACAATTTGGGAACTTGCTTCCTGACACTCCAGTCACGACAAACACGTGGCTCACCTGTCCTGGCAGCTCTGGCTCAGCTCCTGGGAGAGGCAGTGAGGGATTTTGGCACCCACCTGGTGTTTCTCCAGCAGCAGCCGGGCGATGCCGACGTGCCCGTTCTGCAGAGCGTCCATGAAGGGAGTGACCCCACAGCTGTCCCTGCTGTCAGGTTGGTACTGGCACCTGGAAGTGACAGGAGGAACAACCAGGACAGAGCTGTTGGCAGCTCCAAAATCCTTATGGAAAGAGACTCTCAGCAGCTGGGATTGAAAATGGAATATATAAAGCTTGTCCATAGACTATGGATAAACCTCTCCTGGTGTTTTAGGGCCTGGGGAATGATTTGTGGGGTTTTTTTGGGGATTAGAGAGCTGGTTCAGTTCATTTGGGCTCTACAGATAATTTATAATTCCCTTTTTCCTGCCCAGAGGGTTTCCAGAAGGGACAAGGTGTGCACTGGAAGCAGGGAATAACCAAATCTTCATGGAATGATGTACAAAATCAAGAGACCACCAACCTCATGCAGGTTAAACTCCAGTGAAATGAGAGAAAACTGAATTAAAGCCAGGCTTAGATCACAGAGCTGTTTATGCTGGGCCAAGCATGGACAGGTTGGGATGAGCTGCAATTCCCAGGGAAAGCTGCTCCAGCTCTGGGAAGGGAGAACAGAGAAAAGGAACAGAGCTGCTTTAAAGCCACTTCCCAGCAATTTCCCAGGAAAACAAGGATAAGCCAAACCTAAGGAAGCTGCTCCCAGCACAGAGCTGCCAGGAATCCCTTTGCTCCTTGTCACACTGGGAATGAATCAGCAGGGAAAACAAACCCAGGGCTGAGTTACATAACTGGGATTTGTGTCACAACCAAGAGGGAGCCCATCCCCAGGGAATCATTGTGTTTTCCCTAGCTGGGAAAAACCTGGAGCAGCTTTGGGGTGGAGGGCAGGGCAGCTGCGATGTGCTTCCCCAGTGGAACAGCACAAACATCCTTTGTGTCCAAATCCTGGCAGGGAATGGGGAGGTGGGGGAGAAAAAGCTGGAAAAGCTGCAAGGAGCTTGCTTACCTTTCCAGGAGCAGCTCCACAACCTGGGAACAGCCGTGCAGCGCTGGGAAAAGATGGGAAAACCAGGAAAAATATGGATTGGTTGTGGTTTTGTGGCATTGTGTCCCTACAGTGAGGCATGCTCGGGTTGCTGATCCTTTTGGGATGAGGGGAGGGGTTCCAAGGGGCTTGGGATGCAAGGGGCTTTATTCCCATCAATTTTTTGGTGGGATTTAAAATTAAAAAAAGGCTTCCCTTGCTCTTATCCAATTGGGAAATGTTAGGTAAAGCAGGGAAAAGGTATGGAATGGGCATTGCCTGGTTCTACCTGCCACAGAATTCAGCTGAAACAAAAAACTCCCAATTATTTGTTCATTCCCGAATTGGGATCTGGGAGAAGCAAAAGGAACACAGAGCAGGCAGCTGTGGAAATGCTGGATAACATTCCCAGCCACTCCCATCTCATCATCCTCACCCATCTCAGACGGAAAACAACAGCAGAGGAGGGGGAAGGATTTGAACCCGAGGCACTGAAATAGTCCATTTTTTTCTTGATTTTTTTAAACATCTCACTTCACACAGCTTTTTTTTTCCTGCAGGTCATTTTTGCAAAACAAATGGAACATATTAAAGAGAAAAATATCATCAAACCAAGGCTGGAGCTGCTCCATCAGGTGATGGAAAAAGGGCTCCTGGGAAATGTGTGCTCCCAGGAGCAACTTTCAGCTGGAATCCCAGTGAGGGATTCTCAGATTTTGGCTCTTTGCTCCTGCTCCCTGCCTGATGAACCCGAGTTATGGGAAGAAAAATCCCTTACAATTCCATCTTTTATCAGGAACAGAGACTTGGGACAGCTGGGAGCCACTGCTGCATTACACATCCTCTAATTACCTCTTCCCAGCTTTCTTCCCTCGGGATAGAAGAAGCAAAAAAGCTGAAAGAATCAACCCTTATTAACATAAAAAATGATTGCAGGAGGGAGAAAATGATCCTTCAGGAAGACAGCTGGCCTGGTCACGGGTTAATGTGCTCAAATCCACACCCCTGGGATGGAAATCCATAGAAATCCATGGAAAAGGCAGTTGGTCCTTTCATGATTCCCCCTGGCAGCTCCAACACGATCTCCAGCCCCTCACCCTTGCTCCTGCCTTGGGAACTGGGAATATCCCCTGGGATAAGTGTGGGGATACCAGGGAGCAGCAGTTTGGGATCAAATTGTACTGGGGGCACTGGGGGGGTTAAGTCATAATTCCCTAAAATTCCAGCCCTTCCCAATTCCCAGTCACTCCCACTCCAGCTGCTGCTCCAGGGTCAGGATGGGTCAGGAAATTCCAGAAATCCACCCAAATTGTGGATTGGTGGCTCTGCCAAAGGAAACACAGGTGGAGACATCTCCAGGAAGCAGAATCCAGGTGCTGGATCCCCATATCCCAAGGCAAGGAGAAGACTTTGCCTCAAGGTCAGAATTCCCCCTTTCCCACAGGATAATCCCAAATCCCAGAGCTCACCCTGCCCCTGTCCCAACCCCTCAGCTCCCAGATCCCAACACAACATCCACCTCCTGCTGGGAGAGGAGCTGCCAGCTCCATGGAAACAACACCTGGAATTGGGCAGGGATAGGAGAACATAAAAAAATGGGATCAGCCACTTGAGGCAACCTGCTGTGATCCCACAAACAACTAATTCCCTGTTTTTTTCATTCCCAGGTCAAGCACAAGGACTCAGTGGTGCCCAAGGGTTGGAATTGTCACTGCTGATGAGCCAAGAGTGACAGAGCAAGGGCTGGAAAAGCCACGGGAGTGACAGCACAGCAGGGGCTCCTCCCAACACCTCAGGTTTTTCCACAGTCAATCCCAATTAAATTCTTTGGGAAAGGAGTTTGGGTATCCAGGGCTCATCTCTGCTGATGATCTCTCTGGTGTGGTCTGAGCCCTTCTCTGCTTCCCAACAATCCTGAGGATGGCTGGGATTTCTAAACGTGCCCATTCCCTTTAAATATCCCTTAAAAGCAGGGAAAAGGGCAGGGAAAGGGAATTGTGGATATGGTGGGCTCCAACAACAGCTCCTGTGTATTCCCAGCAGGGATTGTCCCTCCCTTTCACAGAAAGAACCTCTGGAATTCTCACCATGCGATGAGAGCAAGGGGACTCCCAAATTTGGAGTTTATTCTTGGAATCATGGAGTAATTTTGGTTGGAAAAATGCTTGAGCCTAACCATTCCCAAAACTGCCAAAGCCACCACTGCCCCGTGTCCCCAAGTACCACATTCCCATGGATCTTAAATCCCTCCAGGAACGGGGACTCCACCCCTGCCCTGGGCAGTTACAATGCCTACAAATTCTTATAATCCCTTTCCATGAAGGAATTTTCCCAATTTCCCACCTGAACCTCCCCAAGCCCAGCCTGAGGCTGTGATAAAAGAGATCCCAAAAAGTTCCTCTCAGCTGCCCTGCTGCTTTCAGGAATTTCAAATGCCAGGATGTGCTTGGAGCTGGGGAGCATTTCACACCAGGAAGGAAAATTAAATTCATATTCCAAGCCAAGGGAGCTGGGATCCATCTGTGCCAGGGAGAAATGAACTTGATCCAAGGATCCCAAGAATTCCAAGAGGCCAGTTTGTGGATTTCCTGAGGGAAAAAATCCCATTTTTCTGGAAGTAGACAACAGGTTCTGCTTCTCCTGAGGGAAAACTTCATTCCTGCTTATCCAAGCCCCCAAACCAACGATATTATCCCCCAAAATCCCAATTTTTTGGCCTCTTTTCCCTCAGGCCCAGCTCCATGGTGAAGCAGGAGAGGCCACAGCAGCTCCTGAGGCTGGTCCAGGAGGGAAACCTGGATGTGCTGTGGGATTTGTGGATTCCCTGAGGGAAAAATTCCCATTTCTCTGGTAGTAGGCACCAGGCTCTGCTTCTCCTGAGTGAAAACCTAAGGATTTGTGGATTTCCTGAGGGAAAAATTCCTGTTTTTTCTGCAAGTAGACACCAGGCTCTGCTTCTTCTGAGGGAGAACCTCATTCCTGCTTATCCTAAATCCCCAAACTAGCCACATTATCCCCCAAAATCCCCATTTTTTGGCCTCTTTTCCCTCAGGCCCAGCTCCATGGCGGAGCAGGAGAGGCTGCAGCAGCTCCTGAGGCTGGTCCAGGAGAGAAACCTGGATGTGCTGTGGGATTTGCAGATTCCCTGAGGGAAAAATTCCCATTTTTTCTGGAAGTAGGCACCAGGCTCTGCATCTCCTGAGGGAGAACCTCCTTCCTGCTTATCCTAAATCCCCAAACCAGCCACAGTATCCCCCAGAATTCCCTTTTTTTTGGCCTCTTTCCCCTCAGGCCCAACTCCATGGAGGAGCAGGAGAGGCTGCAGCAGCTCCTGAGGCTGGTCCAGGAGAGAAACCTGGATGTGCTGTGGGATTTGCAGATTCCCTGAGGGAAAAATCCAGATTTTTCTGGAAGTAGACAACAGGCTCTGCATCTCCTGAGGGAAAACCTAAGGATTTGTGGATTTCCTGAGGGAAGAATTCACATTTTTCTGGAAGTAGACACCAGGCTCTGCTTCTCCTGAGGAAGAACCTCATTCCTACTTATTCCAAGCCCCCAACAGTCCACAATATTCCCCGAAATTCCAATTTTTTTACTTCTTTTCCCTCAGGCCCGGCTCCATGGCGGAGCAGGAGAGGCTGCAGCAGCTCCTGAGGCTGGTCCAGGAGGGAAAGCTGGATGTGCTGTGGGATTTGTGGATTCCCTGAGGGAAAAATTCCCATTTTTCTGGTAGTAGGCACCAGGCTCTGCTTCTCCTGAGTGAAAACTTAAGGATTTGTGGATTTCCTGAGGGAAAAATTCCCATTTTTTTCTGGAAGTAGACACCAGGCTCTGCTTCTCCTGAGGGAGAACCTCATTCCTGCTTATCCTAAATCCCCAAACTAGCCACAGGATCCCCCAAAATCCCCATTTTTTGGCCTCTTTCCCCTCAGGCCCAACTCCATGGCGGAGCAGGAGAGGCCACAGCAGCTCCTGAGGCTGGTCCAGGAGGGAAACCTGGATGTGCTGTGGGATTTGTGGATTTTCTGAGGGAAAAATTCCCATTTTTCTGGAAGTAGAGACCAGGCTCTGCTTCTCCTGAGGGAATACCCCATTCACACTTATCCCAATCTGCAAACCATCCAAGGTATACCCCAAAATCCCCATTTTTTGCCTCTTTTCCTTCAGGCCCAGCTCCATGGCAGGGCAGGAGAGGCTGCAGCAGCTCCCGAGGCTGGTCCAGGAAGGAAACCTGGATCTCCTTTGGGAAGAGCTGAGGCTGGATGAGATTCCAGAGGGTTCCCTGGATCCATCCCTGTTGTACCTGCTGTGTGCAGAGGAGTTCTCCCCGTGGTGCTCTCCGTGTCCCAGCAGCTTGGGGACACATCCAGGAGGTACTGGAGCACTTGGGGATGCCCTTCCCTGCTGGCAATGTGGAAGCAATTCCAGCCATCCTTGTTCCTCAGCAACGGGTTGGCTCCATGCTCCACCAGAGTTTTGATCACTCCCAAGTTTTTCCTGGTGCAAGCCATCATCAGGGGAGTCCTGGAAGAAGATCCATGGAAATTAAATAACCTGGCACAACAAATTTGATTCAGGTGCTTTGCCTGAGGTCCCAGGAGATTTTACAGCAGTATTTTTCCAGGCTGGGAATACTCCAGCTCCTTTTCCATGCAGTCCCTCGGAGCATTCTGTATTTTTAAGGCAAATGAGACTTTTTCCAAAGGTTTGGATATGCCTTAGGAAGCGCAGAGCTCCCTGGTTTTAATCCATGGGTGGAAGAGCACAGCCACACAAATCCAGGCTCGTGGAATCTTGGCCTCAGCTCCAGGCTGGCACAGCACCAATTCCCAGCTCTGGAATGCTGCCTTTGGACTTGTGGCAATCAGTTCCAAAGGGCCTTCCCAGGCTTTCATCTGAGAGCTGGGGAGAATCCTTGTTTTCTGTTTCCAGAAATCCCCATCCCTAAGGGAAGAGTGGAGCAGTAATTCACAACTTCCAGGAGAAGCGAGGGGAAAGCAGGGATGGGGCTGGAATTTCTCCCAAAAATCCAATTGGATCCACAGTGTGTGCAGCAGAGGAAGGGAATTCTGCCCCTCTGTTCCACTCAGATGATCCCACATGGAGTCCAGCTCTGGGATCCCAATCTAAGGACCTGGAGCTGCTGGAGTAAATCCAGAGGAATCCATGGAGCCGCTGCAGGGCTGGAGCCCCTCTGCTCTGGAGCCAGTGTGGGAGAGCTGGGAATGTTCCCCTGGAGAGGAGAAGGATCCAGGGAGAGCTTCCAGCACATTCCAGGGCCTGAAGGGGCTCCAGGGGCACTGCAGAGGGACTGGGGACAAGGCCTGCAGGGACAGGACACAGGGAATGGCTCCCACTGCCAGAGGGCAGCCATGGATGGGATCTTGGGAATGAGGAATTCCTGGCTGGGCTGGGATTGCCAGAGCAGCTGGGGCTGCCCCTGGATCATCCAAGGAAAGGTTGGACACTGGGGCTGGAGCAGCCTGGGATAGGGGAAGGTGTCCTAGGTGGCCCTGGATGATCCTTTAGCTCCTTCCCATCCATTCCATGATCCCAAACACTGCCTCCAGCAGCCACATTCCCACCTTCCCCACCCAATCCCAAATCCCAGCACCTACCAATCAGCCTTTTTCAAGCAGTCCACGCTCGCTCCTCTCTCCAGGAGGAAGGACACACATTCCTGGTGTCCCATGGAAGCAGCCTCATGGATGGGTCTCTTGTAGTCCCCATTGGCCACCTCCATGTCCATCCCGATCTCCTGGATCAGGAATTCCAGCACGTCCCGGTGTCCCAGGCAAGCTGCGTGGTGCAGCAGGGAATCTCCCAAACGTCCCCAGCGCCAGCTGCGAGCCTCTGGGATCTCCTCCAGCCTCAGCTCATCCCGGAGCACATCCAGCTTTCCCTCCTGGACCAGCCTCAGGAGCCGCCGCGGCCGCTCCTGCTCCGCCATGGAGCCGGGCCTGAGGGGAAAGAAGTAAAAAAATTGGGATTTTTGGGGATATTGTGGTTTATCTGCAGGATTGAGGTAAGGAGGAAGGAGGTTCTTCCTCAGGAGAAGCAGAGCCTGGTGTCTATTTCCAGAAAAAAGGGAATTTTTCCCTCAGGAAATCCACAAATCCTTAAGTTTTCCCTCAAGAGAAGCAGAGCCTGTTTTGTACTTCCAGAAAAATTTGAATTTTTCCCTCAGGGAACCACAAATCCCACAGCACATCCAGCTTTCCTTCCTGAACCAGCCTCAGGAGCTGCTGCAGTCTCTCCTGCTCTGCCATGGAGCTGGGCCTGAAAGGAAAGAGGCCAAAAAATGGGGATTTTGGGGGTTGGGATAAGCAGGAATGAGGTTCTGTCTCAGGAGAAGCAGAGCCTGTTGTCTACTTCCAGAAAAATGGGAAATTTTTCCCTCAGGAAATCTACAAATCCAACAGCACATCCAGGGTTCCCTCCTGGACCAGCCTCAGGAGCCGCCACGGCTGTTCCTGCTCCACCATGGAGCCGGGCCTGAGGGAAAAGAAGTAAAAAAATTGGGATTTTTGGGGATATTGTGGTTGGTCTGCAGGATTGAGGTAAGCAGGAAGGAGGTTCTTCCTCAGGAGAAGCAGAGCCTGGTGTCTACTCCCAGAAAAATTGGAATTTTTCCCTCAGGGAATCCACAAATCCCACAGCACATCCAGCTTTCCTTCCTGAACCAGCCTCAGGAGCTGCTGCAGTCTCTCCTGCTCCGCCATGGAGCTGGGCCTGAAAGGAAAGAGGCCAAAAAATGGGGATTTTGGGGGTTGGGATAAGCAGGAATGAGGTTCTGTCTCAGGAGAAACAGAGCCTGGTGTGTACTTCCAGAAAAATGGGATTTTTTCCCTCAGGAAATCTACAAATTCCACAGCACATCCAGGTTTCCCTCCTGGACCAGCCTCAGGAGCCGCCGCGGCCGCTCCTGCTCCACCATGGAGCCGGGCCTGAGGGGAAAGAAGTAAAAAAAATTGGGATTTTAGGGGATATTGTGGTTGGTCTGCAGGATTGAGGTAAGCAGGAAGGAGGTTCTTCCTCAGGAGAAGCAGAGCCTGGTGTCTACTCCCAGAAAAAAGGGAATTTTTCCCTCAGGAAATCCACAAATCCTTAAGTTTTCCCTCAGGAGAAGCAAAGCCTGTTGTCTACTTCCAGAAAAATGGGAATTTTTCCCTCAGGGAATCCACAAATCCCACAGCACATCCAGGTTTCCCTTCCTGGTCCAGCCTCGGGAGCTGCTGCAGCCTCTCCTGCTCCACCATGGAGCCAGGCCTGAGGGGAAAGAGGCCAGAAAATGGGGATTTTGGGGGTTGGGATAAGCAGGAATGAGGTTCTGTCTCAGAAGAAACAGAGCCTGGTGTGTACTTCCAGAAAAATGGGAAATTTTTCCCTCATAAATCTACAAATCCCACAGCACATCCAGCTTTCCCTCCTGGACCAGCCTCGGGAGCCGCCGTGGCCTCTCCTGCTCCACCATGGAGCCGGGCCTGAGGGGAAAGAAGTAAAAAAATTGGGATTTTTGGGGATATTGTGGTTGGTCTGCAGGATTGAGGTAAGCAGGAATGAAGTTTTCCCTCAGGAGAAGCAGAGCCTGTTGTCTACTTCCAGAAAAATGGGGATTTTTCCCTCAGGAAATCCAGAAATCCTTAAGTTTTCCCTCAGGAGATGAAGAGCCTGTTGTTTACTTCCAGAAAAATTGGAATTTTTCCGTCAGGGAATCCACAAATCCCACAGCACATCCATGTTTCCTTCCTGAACCAGCCTCAGGAGCTGCTGCAGCCTCTCCTGCTCCACCATGGAGCCAGGCCTGAGGGGAAAGAGGCCAAAAAATTGGGATTTTGGGGGTTGGGATAAGCAGGAATGAGGTTCTGTCTCAGGAGAAAGAGAGCCTGGTGTGTACTTCCAGAAAAATGGGAATTTTTCCCTCAAGGAATCTACAAATCCCACAGCACATCCAGGTTTCCCTCCTGGACCAGCCTCGGGAGCTGCCAGAGCCTCTCCTGCTCCACCATCGTGCTGGTCCTGAGGGAAAATAGGCCAAAAAATTGGGATTTTGGGGGATAATGTAGTTGGTTTGGGGGCTTGGATAAGCAGGAATGAAGCTTTCCCTCAGGAGAAGCAGAGCCTGGTGTCTACTTCCAGAAAAATGGGAATTTTTCCCTTAGAAAATCCACAAATCCCACAGCACATCCAGGTTTCCCTCCTGGACCAGCCTCAGGAGCTGCTGTGGCCTCTCCTGCTCCACCATGGAGCCAGGCCTGAGGGGAAAGAAATAAAAAAATTGGGATTTTTGGGGATATTGTGGTTGGTCTGCAGGATTGAGGTAAGCAGGAAGGAGGTTCTTCCTCAGGAGAAGCAGAGCCTGGTGTCTACTCCCAGAAAAAAGGGAATTTTTCCCTCAAGAAATCCACAAATCCTTAAGTTTTCCCTCAGGAGAAGCAGAGCCTGTTGTGTACTTCCAGAAAAATGGGAATTTTTCCCTCAGGGAATCCACAAATCCCACAGCACATCCAGGTTTCCTTCCTGGACCAGCCTCGGGAGCTGCTGCAGCCTCTCCTGCTCCGCCATGGAGCTGGGCCTGAAAGGAAAGAGGCCAAAAAATGGGGATTTTGGGCATTGGGATAAGCAGGAATGAAGTTTTCCCTCAGGAGAAACAGAGCCTGGTGTACTTCCAGAAAAATGGGATTTTTTCCCTCAGGAAATCTACAAATTCCACAGCACATCCAGGTTTCCCTCCTGGACCAGCCTCAGGAGCCGCTGTGGCCGCTCTTGCTCCACCATGGAGCCGGGTCTGAGGGGAAAGAAATAAAAAGATTGGGATTTTTGGGGGTATTGTGGTTGGTCTGCAGGATTGAGGTAAGCAGGAAGGAGGTTCTTCCTCAGGAAAAGCAGAGCCTGGTGTCTACTCCCAGAAAAAAGGGAATTTTTCCCTCAGGAAATACACAAATCCTTAAGTTTTCCCTCAGGAGAAGCAGAGCCTGTTGTGTACTTCCAGAAAAATGGGAATTTTTCCCTCAGGGAATCCACAAATCCCACAGCACATCCAGCTTTCCTTCCTGGACCAGCCTCAGGAGCTGCTGCAGTCTCTCCTGCTCTGCCATGGAGCTGGGCCTGAAAGGAAAGAGGCCAAAAAATGGGGATTTTGGGGGTTGGGATAAGCAGGAATGAGGTTTTCCCTCAGGAGAAGCAGAGCCTGGTGTCTACTTCCAGAAAAAAGGGAATTTTTCCCTCAGAAAATCCACAAATCCCACAGCACATCCAGGTTTCCCTCCTGGACCAGCCTCGGGAGCCGCCGTGGCCTCTCCTGCTCCACCATGGAGCTGGGCCTGAGGGAAAGAGGCCAAAAAATGTGGATTTTGGGGGTTGGGATAAGCAGGAATGAGGTTCTGTCTCAGGAGAAACAGAGCCTGGTGTGTACTTCCAGAAAAATGGGATTTTTTTCCCTCAGGAAATCTACAAATTCCACAGCACATCCAGGTTTCCCTCCTGGACCAGCCTCAGGAGCTGCTGTGGCCTCTCCTGCTCCACCATGGAGCTGGGCCTGAGGGAAAAGAGGCCAAAAAAATGGGATTTTGGGGGATAATGTAGTTGGTTTGGGGGCTTGGATAAGAAGGAATGAGGTTTTCCCTCAGGAGAAGCAGAGCCTGGTCTCTACTTCCAGAAAAATGGGAATTTTTCCCTCAGGAAATCAACAAATCCTTAAGTTTTCCCTCAGGAGAAGCAGAGCCTCTTGTGTACCTCTAGAAAAATGGGAATTTTTCCCTCAGGGAATCCACAAATCCCACAGCACATCCAGGTTTCCCTCCTGGACCAGCCTCGGGAGCCGCCGTGGCCTCTCCTGCTCCACCATGGAGCTGGGCCTGAGGGAAAAGGGGCCCCAAAAATTGGAGATTTTGGGGGATATTTTGGTTGGTTTGGGGGCTTGGATAAGCAGGAATGAGGTTTTCCCTCAGGAGAAGCAGAGCCTGGTGTCTACTTCCAGAAAAATGGGAATTTTTCCCTCAGAAAATCCACAAATCCCACAGCACATCCAGGTTTCCCTCCTGGACCAGCCTCAGGAGCTGCTGCAGTCTCTCTTGCTCCACCATGGAGCCAGGCCTGAGGGGAAAGAGGCCAAAAAATGGGGATTTTGGGGGTTGGGATAAGCAGGAATGAGGTTTTGTCTCAGGAGAAACAGAGCCTGGTGTGTACTTCCAGAAAAATGGAAATTTTTCCCTCAGGGTATCCATAAATTCCACAGCACATCCAGGTTTTTCTCCTGGACCAGCCTCAGGAGCCGCCGTGGCCGCTCCTGATCCACCATGGAGCCAGGCCTGAGGGGAAATAAATAAAAAAATTGGGATTTTTGGGGATATTGTGGTTGGTCTGTAGGATTGAGGTAAGCAGGAAGGAGGTTCTCCCTCAGGAGAAGCAGAGCCTGGTGTCTACTTCCAGAAAAAAGGGAATTTTTCCCTCAGGAAATCCACAAATCCCACAGCACATCCAGGTTTCCCTCCTGAACCAGCCTCAGGAGCTGCTGCAGCCTCTCCTGCTCCGCCATGGAGCCAGGCCTGAGGGGAAAGAGGCCCCAAAAAATGGAGATTTTGGGGGATATTTTGGTTGGTTTGGGGGCTTGGATAAGCAGGAATGAAGTTTTCCCTCAGGAGAAGCAGAGCCTGTTGTCTACTTCCAGAAAAATGCAAATTTTTCCCTCAAGGTATACATAAATTCCACAGCACATCCAGGTTTTTCTCCTGGACCAGCCTCAGGAGCTGCTGTGGCCTCTCCTGCTCCACCATGGTGCTGGTCCTCAGGGAAAAGAGGCAAAAAATTGGGATTTTGGGGAATATTTTACTTGTTTTAGGGGGTTGGGATAAGCATTAATGAGGTTTTTCTTCAGGAAAAGCAGAGTCTGGCGTCTACTTCCAGAAAAAAAAGGGAATTTTTCCCTCAGGGAATCCCCGAACCAGCCTCTCCCTCAGGATGAGCAGGAATTTCCTTCTCCCTCAGAATAAAGAAACAGTTTCTTTCTCCCTCAGGATAATTAAAAATTTCCCTTCAGAAAACCAGGATTTGGCCTCTCCTTCAGAAAAAGCAGGAATTTTCCTCTCCCTCTGAAATTCAGTAAGCAATCACCCCTCAGTAAAAGGAAAAATTCAATTTTTCCTTAGGAAAATTAGGATCTGGTCTCTCCCTCCTGAAAAAAAAAAGGATTTTATTTTCTTTAGGAATACCAGGATCTGATCTTTCCCTTAGGAAAAACAGAAATTCCCTTTTCCCTCAGGAAAACCAGAAGCTTCTTTTTCCATTAGGATGCCCAGGAAACAAATGTTCCCTCTGGAAAAGCAGAAATTCTGTTTTCCCTCTGGAAAACCGGAATTCAGCTTTTCCCTCAGGAAAACAGGTCTCTCCTTTAGGCAAAATAAATTCTTTTTTTTTTTTTTCTTTTGGAAAAGCAGCAACCACAGTATCACTCAGCAAATCCTGAAATTCCCTTTTTCCTCAGGGAAAAAATGGACAATTTCTTTTGATTCAGGAAAACCAGGACCCCACCTCTTCCTCCAAAAAAACCTGGAATTCCCTCTTCCTTTCGGAAAACCAGGAACTTTCTTTTTCCTTGGGAAAACAAGGAAAGACATCCATCAGGAAAAACAGAATTTTGTTTTTTCATATGGGAAACCAGGAATTTCCATCTTCCCTCAGGAAAATGACAAACCAGCCTCTCCCTCTGGTAACACAGAAATTCCCATTCCCTCTGGGAAATCTCCAAAATTCCTGTTCCTCTTAGGAAAGTCAGAAACCAGCTAGAAATCCATCAGTTTTCCTTTTCACTAAGGAAAACTTGAAATTCCCTTTTTCCTCTGGAAAACGAATTATTTCCTTTTCCCTGCGGACAGCCAGACAGCAACCCCTCCTCCAGGAAAAGCAGCAATTCCCTTTTCTCTCCAAAACGAAGGGGAAATTCCCTTTTTCCTCAGGCAAAAAGACCAGAAATTCCCTTTTTCCTCAGGAAAAAGACACACAGAAACTCCCTTTTTTCTCAGGAAAAAACCACAGACATTCCCTTTTTCCTCAGCAAAAAAAGTCCAGAAATTCCCTTTTTCCTCAAGAAAAAAAAAAAAAGCCCAGAAATTCCCTTTTTCCTCAGGAAAAAAACACACAGAAACTCCCTTTTTTCTCAGGAAAAAAACACAGACATTCCCTTTTTCCTCAGGAAAAAACAAAAAGCCCAGAAATTCCCTTTTTCCTCAGGAAAAAAGACCAGAAATTTATTTTTTCTCAGGAAAAAAAGCCCAGAAATTCATTTTTTCCTCAGGAAAACCAGAAATTCCCTTTTTTCCTCAGGAAAAAAAAGCCCAGAAATTCCCTTTTTTCCTCAGGAAAACCAGAAATTCCCGTTTCCTTCGTGGCTCCCATTAAGGGGCCGCTCCCTCTGGTCGGGATCCCTCCCCTTATCCCCTCCCCAGCTCATCCCAGGCCGCGCAATTCCCGCGGGAAAATTCCCGGTTTTTCCAACCCACCCGCGCGCCGCGGAGCGCTCGTGACGTCACGCGCGGCGGGATGACGTCACAACAGCGGGAGAAGCAAATAAGCCCCGCCCAACACGGAAGTTCCGGACGCTGCTCTGGCTTCTGATTGGACAGCGGGGAGGAGGCGGGGCCGGAGGAGTGCGCGGGGCCGCGCGCGCCGGGAGCGGGTGAGACTGGGGGAGGAGGGCGCGACCATTTGTGGGCAGCGTGGGGGGAGCCGGGAAGGAATTTCCTTGGAAATGAGGTTTCTTTGGGAATGTGGAGGCCCTTAGGTATCCTTGGGATTGAGGGATTAACCCTTGGCAAAAGCGCGGGATTGATATTCAAAGGGCTTTTGGCACTGCAGGGAACCTTTGGCTTTGAGGGGAGCTTGGGAGCGGAGGCTCCTTTGGCACTGGGGCGCCGTTGGAAATGGGGGAATCCTTGGAATTTTAGGGTTTGCCCAAGGGGTAATGGGGTGAGGGAGTGAGCAGGGAGGATCTTGGCTGAGGAGGGGTTAAAAGGGAATTCCTTGGGAATGAGGGAATCCTTGGAAATGGGGGGTTGGCAGTGAGGGGACCCTTGGCAGTGAGGGGGCTTTGGGAATGGGGGAATCCTTGGAACTGGGGGTTTGGCACTGAGGGGCCTCTGGGAAGGGGGCAAACCTTGGGATTTGAGGGGACCCTTGGGAATGAGGGAATCCTTGGAATTGGGGCATTGACACTGAGGGGACCCTTGGCAGTGAAGGGGACCCTTGGGAATGGGGGAATCCTTGGAATTTTGGGGTTTGCCCAAGCGGTAATGGGGTGAGGGAGTGAGCAGGGAGGATCTTGGCTGAGGAGGGGTTAAAAGGGAATTCCTTGGGAATGAGGGAATCCTTGGAAATGGGAGGTTGGCAGTGAGGGGACCCTTGGGAATGGGGGAATCCTTGGAATTGGGGGATTGGCACTGAGGGGCCTTTGGGAATGGGGGAATCCTTGGAATTGGGGGATTGGCACTGAGGGGCCTTTGGGAATGGGGGAATCCTTGGAATTGGGGGATTGGCACTGAGGGAACCCTTGCATTGAGGGCGCCTTGGGAATGGGGCAATCCTTGGGATTTGAGGGGACCCTTGGGAATTAGGGAATCCTTGGAATTGGGGGATTGACAGTGAGGGGACCCTTGGGAATGGGGGAATCCTTGGAATTTTAGGGTTTTCCCAGGGGGAATGGGGTGTGGGAGTGAGCAGGGAGGATCTTGGCTGAGAAGGGGTTAAAAGGGAATTCCTTGGGAATCCTTGGAATTGGGGGATTGGCACTGAGGGGCCTTTGGGAATGGGGCAAACCTTGGGATTTGAGGGGACCCTTGGGAATGAGGGAATCCTTGGAATTGGGGCATTGACACTGAGGAGACCCTTGGCAGTGAAGGGGACCCTTGGGAATGGGGGAATCCTTGGAATTTTAGGGTTTGCCCAGGGGGTAATGGGGTGAGGGAGTGAGCAGGGAGGATCTTGGCTGAGGAGGGGTTAAAAGGGAATTCCTTGGGAATCCTTGGAATTGGAGGTTTGGCAGTGAGGGGACCCTTGGCAGTGAGGGGGCTTTGGGAATGGGGGAATCCTTGGAATTGGGGGTTTGGCACTGAGGGGCCTTTGGGAATGGGGCAAACCTTGGGATTTGAGGGGACCCTTGGGAATGAGGGAATCCTTGGAATTTTGGGGTTTGGCACTGAGGGGGCTTTGGGAATGGGGCAAACCTTGGGATTTGAGGGGACCCTTGGGAATGAGGGAATCCTTGGAATTGTGGCATTGACACTGAGGGGACCCTTGGCAGTGAAGGGGACCCTTGGGAATGGGGGATTCCTTGGAATTTTAGGGTTTGCCCAAGGGGTAATGGGGTGGGGGAGTGAGCAGGGAGGATCTTGGCTGAGGAGGGGTTAAAAGGGAATTCCTTGGGAATGAGGGAATCCTTAGAATTGGGGGGTTGTCACTGAGGGGGCTTTGGGAATGGGGGAATCCTTGGGATTTGAGGGGACCCTTGGGAATGGGGGAATCCTTGGAATTGGGGGATTGGCACTGAGGGAACTCTTGCATTGAGGGCACCTTGGGAATGGGGCAATCCTTGGGATTTGAGGGGACCCTTGGGAATGGGGGAATCCTTGGAATTTTGGGGTTTTCCAAAGGGGTAACACGTGGTAACGGGGTGGGGGAGTGAGCAGGGAGGATCTTGGCTGAGGAGGGGTTTAAAGGGAATTCCTTGGGAATGGGGGAATCCTTGGAAATGGGGGATTGACACTGAGGGGGCTTTGGGAATGGGGGGAGCTTGGAAATGAGGGGACCCTCTGGATGGGGTGGTGCATCCATGTGGGAAAAGGATTTGGAAAAGAGGTTCTGGGGGGAAAATGGGGAGCAGCTCCAGCATTCTCCCAAATATTTCTCCTCCCTCTGGAGCTTCCCCCTCCAGCCTCTGATCCTTTGATTTCCCAGCTGGAATCTCTCCTGGCTGACCTTGGAAGCCACATGGGAAATCTTGGGAAAATTAAGGATGGAGGTCAAGGCTGAGCGAGAAATTCCATTTATTATGTAGAATCCTGGGATTATTTTGGTTGGAAAAAATCATTAAATCATCAAATCCAGCCCCAAATTCCCTCAGCACATTCCTAAAAGCTACGGGAGTTTCTTGGTTTGGGATTTTTCCCTTTTGTTTGCCTCATTTCCCATATTTTGAGGAAATGGGGATGTTGGAAAACAGCCTCCCCATGGAGCTGAGTGCTTTTAACTCTGCTAGCTGAAAAGGATGAAGCAGCACATCCATAAAATCATCCAGGTTAGGGAAAAAAAAACCCTAAAATAATCCAATCCAAATATTATCCCAAGGAATAACCAGGCTGATTCTTGGATCCTGCCCTAAAAGGAAAATTCAGCGTTTTTTGGGGCTGCTGCAGACATGTTAAAGAGAAATAAATAAATTAAAGGAAGCAAAAGTGAAACTGCTGGTGCTGGCAGGAGGGAGCTCAGCCGTTCCTGCTGGATTTGGGTTCTTTTGTGGAAAAAATTGAATTTTCTGGAGTTTTTCTGTGGAGTTTGTGTCTATTCCAAGTAAGGCTTGGTTGTTTTATGGGAATAATTCCCAGGATGATTTTTTTAAACTGCAAATGGGGTAAATTTCCTCTGCTAAAGGATGAATCTAGCTTGGAAAGGCTCAGTTTGGGTGGTTGAAATTTGGATCCAGGGTGTTAAGAGCAAGGCTTGTTCTTTAAAAATTTTAAGAGTTTAATAAGGGATAAAAGGATTCCATAAATTCTATGAAAAAGAGTTTTCATCACCAATTTCCTCTCTGGGAAATCAAGTTTGTCATTTCATTTAGTTTCATTTCATTTTTTAAATTTAATTTTTATTTTTATTTTATTTTGGTTTATTTTATTTTGTTTTTTCTAGATATATATATATCTAGTGCAAATTGCCAAAAACACACCATTAGCTTAAAATAATTTTCTTCTATATTTCTTATTACATTGGTTAAATGCATATTTCTGAGGATTATATATATTTCAATATTATATATATTATATATAGTTACTTAAATAAAAGCATCCAAGTTAATTCTTTTAATTTAATTAAAATTTGAATTTTATTTAAATTTAATTACATAGTTCCTATTTTAATATTATGTGAAAACCTAAACTATAACATGTTTATTTGATTACTATTAATATAAGCTAAATGTGTATAACAGCTGACAGATTCTATCTAAAAAGTAAATAAGAGGGATTAAAATCATATTATATTAAAACTGTTGTGCTTAATAATAACTTGTAAAAGCCAATACATAAATGTGGAAGTCAATAACTATATTATAATATTATTATATTGTATATAGACAATATATATTATTATATATTACATATTCTATAAGCTTGTATTATTATAATTCTATATTATGTTATATCATGTGATATGATATATGACATTATATTATATTACTGTAATGTATTCTAATACAATAATATTATACTGATAATATTCTATAATATAATCATATATAATTATACTTTGAAAATAAAATATAATATAATACTATTATAATTATTTAAAAATATAACAATGTTTTCTATTATTACTAATCTTATACTAATATTATTCTAGTGTAAAATAATTTAAATGCTATAATAATTATATAATAATAGTATGATATTTCTAGTATAATAAATTATACTTTATACTATATTACATTGTATTTATAATATATAATATATACAATACAATATATAATATATAATACAATATAATATAAATACAATGTAATATAATATAATACAGTATCGTATAATGTAATATAATTAATATAATATAATGTAATATAATATAAGATAGCATAATATAATATTGTATAATACAATACAATAAATATAATGTAATATAATGTAATATAATGTAATATAATGTAATATAATAAAAATATATTATTTATATAATGTATTATATTCTATTAAGGAAGCAAAAGGAGGTTCTTGTGGGAAAATGGGGATATAATATATAATAATAGAACAATATAAATATAAATAATATAATATATAATATAAATGCTATATTATTTATATAATTTATTATTTATATTACATTACATTATATTACATTACATTATATTACATTTCATTATACTACATTATATTGCATTATATTGCCTTATATTACATTATATTGCATTATATTACATTATATTATATTATATTATATTATATTATATTATATTATATTATATTATATTATATTATATTATATTATATTATATTATATTATATTATATTATATTATATTATATTATATTATATTATATTATATTATATTATATTATATTATATTATATTATATTATATTATATTACATTACATTATATTACATTATATTATATTACATTATATTATATTACATTATATTATATTACATTATATTATATTACATTATATTATATTACATTATATTATATTACATTATATTATATTACATTATATTATATTATATTATATTACATTATATTACATTACATTATATTATATTACATTATATTACATTACACTATATTAACTATTTTATAATTTATAGTTAATATACAATTTCTATAATTTATAACAAGGGCCATCCCCAGCTTGTGTGGGAATTCCATCCCAGCCAGGAATTCCCCCCCCATTTCAGAGGCACTCTGCTCTCAGGAGCACTCCTTGCTGCGGCCGGTCGCAATTCCTGCAGGACTCAGCGTTCCGAGCATCCCTTTGCTGTGCCCCGTGCAGGATGCGGCGCTGCCGGCGGCTCTGTGCCCCCGAGTGTGCGGCGCTGGCACAGAGCCCCGCGGGCTCAGCCCCACTGCGGCAGCCCCTGGGCCTGGGGAGTGCAGCAGGAGTGAGGAACCACAGCCTTCATCCCACCCCCGGCACACAGACACGTCCCACAGGTACTGCTGGGAGAGCTGGGAATGTTCCCATGGAGAGGAGAAGGATCCAGGGAGAGCTTCCAGCACATTCCAGGGCCTGAAGGGGCTCCAGGAGAGCTGCAGAGGGACTGGGGACAAGGCCTGCAGGGACAGGACACAGGAATGGCTCCCACTGCCAGAGGGCAGCCATGGATGGGATCTTGGGAATGAGGAATTCCTGGCTGGGCTGGGATTGCCAGAGCAGCTGGGGCTGCCCCTGGATCCCTGGAATGTCCCAGGAAAGTCTGGACATGGGGACAGTGCCCAGTGTCCCTGCCAGGGCAGGGGTGGCATGGCTGATCCTAAATTCCCTTCCCACCCAACCCATTCCATGATTCCACGACAAACCAGCCTCGATTATTCCAACATCCCTCATTCCAGCCCCTTTGGGAAGATTCCTGGAGCCCCTCAGTTCCCAGGAATTCAGGCTGGGAGAGCTGGGGGTGCTCACCTGGAGAGGAGAAGGATCCAGGGAGAGCTTCCAGCACATTCCAGGGCCTGGAGGGGCTCCAGGAGAGCTGCAGAGGGACTGGGGACAAGGCCTGGAGGGACAGGACACAGGGAATGGCTCCCACTGCCAGAGGGATGGATGGGAGATTGGGAATGAGGAATTTCCAGAGCAGCTGGGGCTGCCCCTGGATCCCTGGAATGTCCAAGGAAAGGCTGGAGCAGCCTGGGATGGTGGGATTGGAATGGGATGGGATTTGAGGGCCCTTCCTACCCAAACCATTCCAGGATTCTGGGATCAAGGAGGCCCAGAATCCATCCCGAGGGATTTTTATGGAAGTTGGGGATGGAAAAGGGAAGGGAGACCCTTCCTGGAGTGCCGAGATTCCCAGTGAAACCCCTGGATCCCAAAATTCCTTCCTGGAGCAGAGTCAGGATGGGGATGGATCCAATGCCAGGCTGGGAGAGCTGGGAATGGAGGGAATTCCCTGGGAAAAGGAGATTGGGGTGGGATTTTGGGAAGGAATTCCTGGCTGGGCTGGAATGGCCTAAGCAGCTGGGGCTGTCCCTGGATCCCTGGAATGTCCAAAGAAGGACTGGAGCACCCTGAGATCGTGGCAGGTGTCCCTGGAATGAGCTTTGAGGTCCCTTCCCACCCAAACTGGTCCAGGATTCTGGGATTTGGGACACTCAGGATCCATCCCGAGGGATTTTTATGGAAAATTGGGATAGAAAATAAAGGAAAAGGAAAAGGGAAACCCTTCATGGCTTCCTGAGATTCCAAGTGAAGCCCCTGGGTCCATGAATTTCTTGGAGAGGAGATGGATCCAATGTCAGCCTGGGAGAGCTGGGAATGTTCCACTGGAGAGGGGAAGGATCCAGGGAGAGCTTCCAGCACATTCCAGGGCCTGAAGGGGCTCCAGGAGAGCTGCAGAGGGACTGGGGACAAGGCCTGCAGGGACAGGACACAGGGAATGGCTCCCACTGCCAGAGGGCAGGTTTAGGGTTATTTTAATTTTATTTTTTCAATGATTTTTTAAATTTTTTTTTTTTCTTTTTTATTAATTGATTTTTATTTGGCTTTATTTATATCTGATTTTAATTTAGTTGTTTTTTTTGTATTTCCTTTCCTTTCCTTTCCTTTCCTTTCCTTTCCTTTCCTTTCCTTTCCTTTCCTTTCCTTTCCTTTCCTTTCCTTTCCTTTCCTTTCCTTTCCTTTCCTTTCCTTTCCTTTCCTTTCCTTTCCTTTCCTTTCCTTTCCTTTCCTTTCCTTTCCTTTCCTTTCCTTTCCTTTCCTTTCCTTTCCTTTCCTTTCCTTTCCTTTCCCCTTTCCCCTTTCCCCTTTCCCCTTTCCCCTTTCCCCTTTCCCCTTTCCCCTTTCCCCTTTCCCCTTTCCCCTTTCCCCTTTCCCCTTTCCCCTTTCCCCTTTCCCCTTTCCCCTTTCCCCTTTCCCCTTTCCCCTTTCCCCTTTCCCCTTTCCTTTCGTTTCATTTCCCAAATCCTGCTGCCTCCACACCTGTGCCTGAGCAGAAACCCAAAAAAACCCACCCAGAATTACTCCTGAAAAAGTGGGATCCAGACCCATTTCCCTGGGAATTCTCCCTGTGCCTGGCTCCCTTCCCGGACAACATTCCCTGCCCAGCCTGAACATGCCCCAAACCCCAAATTCTCCCTCATTCCCTGATTTCCGTGGAATTCATTCCCTCTTTTCTGCTTTGTGCAGCGCCAGGCAGGCAGAGGAAGATCCAGGATTTCTTCAGGGTGAAGGCAAAGCCGCCAGCAGGAGCTGCTGGTGCACAGAGCCGTGGGATGAAGGAAAAGCCACTGGATCCCTTTTCCCCTGGAGCTCCCCGTGGGATGAAGGCAGAGCCGCTGGATCCCTTTCCTCCTGCTCCTCCCTCTCCCTTCAGCAGCCCCTCCCTTTCCCTGCCACCTCCCAGGGCACATCCCAGGAAAAGAGCGATTCCCAAGGCAGAGCAGCATCTCTGGGAGGAACCCAAGGAGAAGATTCCAGAGCTCAGCGGGATCCAGCAGGAATGGCAAGAGCTGGAAGTGGAGCCCCTTCCCGATTCCCACTACGGGCTCCTGGGCACTCGGAGCTGGCAAGTTCCTCAGGGATCTATGGATGATCTTCCTCCTGAAATCCTCAGGAATATTTTTGCTTTCCTGCCAGTGCTGGATCTGTACCAGAGCCTCAGCCTGGTGTGTCGCTGCTGGAGGGAGATAATCCGGGATCCACAGGTAAGGAACGCCCTGGGATCATCCCATGGGATCATCCATGCCTCCCTTTGTTCCTTTAAATCCCATCATTCTTCCCATGGGATCATCCATGCCTCCCTTTGTTCCTTTAAATCCCATCATTCTTCCCATGGGATCATCCATGCCTCCCTTTGTTCCTTTAAATCCCATCATTCTTCCCATGGGATCATCCATGCCTCCCTTTGTTCCTTTAAATCCCATCATTCTTCCCACAATCCATGAAGTTTTAGGTTTCCTGCCATTATTTTGGACCAAAAGTTGCTGCCCTATACTCAAAATCTGAGATCTGTGAGTAAGGAGGGCTCTGGGATGATCCCATGGGATCGTCCAGGCCTCTCTTTATTCCTGTAAATCCCATAATTCTTCCCATAATCCATGAATTTTTAGGTCTCTTGCCTTTTTTTTTTGGTGTTCTGGACCAAAAGATCCAAGATCCACGGGTAAGAAACGCTCTGGGGTGATCCCATGGGATCATCCATGCCTCCCTTTCTTCCTGTAAATTCCATCATTCTTCCCACAATCCATGAATATTTAGGTCTCCTGCCATTTAATTTTGGTCTTCCAGACCAAAAGTTGCTGCCCTATACTCAAAATCCATGTTGGAGCAACATTCCTTCCCATCCATGGAAAAAAAAGTGGAATTTTCCATAAAAATCCCCCTTGCTCAGTTTTCCCTGGAGCCTTTTTTCCTGCCAGGAATTATCCAGGGAATTCCTGCAGTGTCCCCAAGCCTCTGGGTGTGTTTGTCACCAAATGGATTTGGAGGAAAACCCTGGAGCTCTGTTTTGATGGATTTTGGTTCCTTTGGAATCAAGGCAAATAGCTGGAAGGAGTGATCCCTAAATCCCACAAAAAGTGCCTTGGGAACAGCCAGCACCTCTGAAAGTCACTCACCACTCCCAAAAATCCAGCCCTGTTTGCAGGCTTTTGAGTTTTTTCCCTCTTTTTTTCCCTCCCTCTTTTTTTTCCCCTCTCTCTTCTTTTTTTCCTTTCCCTCTTCTTTTTTCTCCCTCTTTTTTTTTTCTTCTCTCTTTTTTTTTCTCCTTCTCTCTTTTCTCCCCCTCTCTCTTTTTTTCCCTCCCTCTTTTTTTCCCTCTCTCTTCTTTTTTTCCCTCCCTCTTTTCTCCCTCTCTCTTCTTTTTTCTTTCCCTCTTCTTTTTTCCTTTCCCTCTTCTTTTTTCCTTTCCCTCTTCTTTTTTCCTTTCCCTCTTTTTTTTTCTCCCTCTTTTTTTTTTCTTCCCTTTTTTTTTCTCCTTCTCTCTTTTCTCCCCCTCTCTCTTTTTTTCCCTCCCTCTTTTTTTCCCTCTCTCTTCTTTTTTTCCCTCCCTCTTTTCTCCCTCTCTCTTCTTTTTCCCTCTCCCTCTTTTTTCCCTTCTTTTTTTTCCCTCTCTCTTTTTTCCTCTCTCATTTTTTCTCCTTCTCTCTTTTATCTCCCCTCTCTCTTTTTTCCCCTCCCTCTTCCCCCCATTTTCTCCCCTTTCCTTCCCCATCTCCCTTTCCCATCCAGCTCCTTTTTGAACCCCAGGACTTTTGGGAGCTCCCTGACTTGTCCCTTTCCCCCTGGAATGCCCCTTTGGAATGCCATGAGGTGAAACCTGCTGCTTTGTGCTTCCCATTCCAGTTTATCCCTTGGAAAAAGCTCTACCACCAATACCTGAAGAAGGAGGACTCAGCCCTGCAGAGAGTGGAGCAGATCCTGCAGGAATTTTCCATAACCAAGGAGCAGCAGGGATGTGTGCTGGGGCTGGTCAGGTGAGTCCAGTTTGCACCTGCAGATCCTCAGATTTTCCTTGCTTTGGGATTTCTTCTCTTGGATCCTGGGAATTGCCAGTTTTGTCTTCTAAACAGGTGGGAGATGTGCAGGAAAATGGGGAGGAGAAGTGATTTTAATAGGAAAAAAAAACACTAAAAAGAGGCACAAAACTTTCCTTTTATTTTCCTTGTTCTGTTTGGACACAAGATCCTGGAATCATGGAATTATTTAGGACCTCTAAGACATGGAGTTCAACCATTCCCAGCACTGCCAAGGTCACCCATGTCCCCAAGTGCCACTTCCACAGGTGTTGGAACCTGAAATATAAAAAACTCTCAGAACTTCGGGCCTGTAAGCCAAAGCTTAGAATTAAACTCAAGATTTGATCTGAGACCTTAGAGAAATCTTCCAAACTTAAGTGCTAGAAGCTTTTTAAAATGTCTCTCATGTAAAACTATGACGGCAAGTATGATTGATTGTTTCCCCTGTGAGGGCAGAAGTCAAAACTGTGCTTGAAAAAGTATCTACAGACACGTGAATATTGTAAAATTTTCTGAAATATGGCTATTTTATATATAAAAATATAGGTATTTTACCCATATACAAAGTTAGGTGAACACTAATTAGTGTGCAATGCTCTTTGTCCAGAGGCAATCCCTACTGAGAATTATTAAGATTATTTTTGATTATTCCAGCAAATCTCAAAGGGTCCACGCTGCACTAATAATGAGCTGTGGGTGTTAGCAGGATGTGCTTGGGAGGAGCCACAAATTCCTTGGAGAGTAAATCCCTCAATATTCCTCCTGCACAGGTTGGTCTCATCCACAGCACCCAAGGTGGATCCCAGCGCGCTTCTCCAGATTTTGGAAAGTCATCCCCTCTTCCCAAAGGCTCAAGTCTGTGTCCTCAGCAAATTCCCAGATTTACAGAGCAAGCCTGGGGTGAGTTTCACTCATATTTCTGTTTTTTTAACAAATTCCTGCAGTGTCCCCAAGCCTCTGGGTGGGTTTGTGGTGTCTTTTGTCATCAAATGGATTTAGAGGAAAACCCTGGAGCTCTGTTTTGATGGATTTTGGTTTCTCTGGAATCAGGGCAAACAACTGGAATTAATGATCCCTAAATCCCACAAAAAGTGGCTTGGGAACAGCCAGCACCCCTCCAGTTGCTCACCATTTGCCTGGGAACTGACCTCAGACCTCATTCTCAGGGAGATCCAGGTTTTCCTTCATTCCATTCCCATAAATTTAGATGGATAAAGGCAGTCAGGATGCAAATATGGGATGTGCTCCTCCCTCCCTAAGACATCCTAAAACTCTGCTTGTTTGAGGTCACTCTGCCCTCCTGTATCCCAAACTCCTCCCTCTGTGGGGTTATTTGGGATAATTTGGGCTACTCTGATGCCTCAGGATTTAGCTTTTCTATTTTCACATTCTGAGCTGCTTTAGTGTGCGGGTCTGGGCTTCATATTATGGGATGGTGAGCTCTGTGCACAGAGCAGGGAGACAAAACAATTCCTGCTCCAGCTGGGCACCAAGGACAAATGATCCAAATCTCAGCCCAGGAGCACAAACACAGTGGGCTGGAGAGAGAAAAACAAGCAGGATGGGACTGCCTGGGCTAAAGCTGGAATGGGACAATGAACTCCAAGGTGCCAATGGAGCAGAACTGATCCCAGGGAGAGCCCCCGGGAGCGCTCGTGCATTTTGGGGCCATTTTGGGTCATTTGGGTGCAGCCCTGGCTGGGCTCTGGTGGATCCAAGGTGGATCCATGGAGGAGATCCTTTAATAAATCCTGAATTTATTCTTTAGCTCTGCCCAGCCTCTGCTCCAGCTCGGCCTCCACAAGGCATCAATTTAGAATTTAACAGCTCCAAGCAGGATTTTCCTGGAAACTCCAAGTTTTTTGCTATCCTTTCCTTGTCCTTCCCCAGCCAGAGAAGATGTGGGCGATCTTTGCTGTCATGGTGCTGTTCTCTGACGGTGTTGGTGACATCCAGAGGCTCCTGGGATGTTTCCGGAGGCCCCACTCGCCGCTGGCCGTGCTGGAGGTCACCGAGGTGCTGCACTGCATGGCCACGCTGCTCCTGGCCATGAGGAACAAGAGCATTCCCATCTCCAACAGGTCAGGAGCTTCCCATCCCATCCCATCCCAGCCCTGCACGCTTCCCTCCATCCCCAGTTGCTCCAGTCTGGCTCTGGATGGTTCCAGGGATGAGGCAGCTGCAGCTGCTCTGGGAATTCCTTCCCAATATCCCATCCCAAATCTTCCCTTTTTTCCAGTCTGAAGCCATTCCCTGTGTCCTGTCCGTCCTTTATCCCAAAGTCTCTCCCTGGAGCCCCTTTAGGTCCTGGAAGGGGCTCAGAGCTGTCTCCAATTCTGAGTTTCAAATCCCTCCAATTCCTAGGGAATTGATTATTTCCCGATTGAATTAATATATTCATAATTAAGTAATTAATTATATATTTTCTATAATTTAAATAATTATATATAGTAATATAGTTAATAGACAACTATACAGTTATAGATCATATAATTATAATCTATAATATATATAATAATTATGTATAATTGTATAATAACTTTATATTATAATTATATAATTATAATATAGTTATATTATTATTTTATATTATATTATTATATTATAATAATAATTATATACATGTATATACATATTATTAATATTAATTTATTTAATTTATTTGATTTATATTAATATACACTATTAATATATTTATTATTATAATAAAATATAGTATAATATAATAATTATATATAATTATATAATAATTATTGTAATAATTATATAATTATACAATTATATATCAATATACTTACGTGATTAAATAATTAATATATTTATAATGTAATGTTACAATTATAGTTTATAAAGTAAATGTATTATATAATATAATATAATATATATAATGTAATATAATACAATATAATATTCCAAATTTAATTAATTAATATTATTTTAATATAATAAAGTAATGAATGATCCACTATTTAATCACTTATTAAATAAATATGTTTGGGGAATTCTAACTCTAACCCTCCCCAAAATTGATTTATTTTACTTCATTCCAAGTCCTAGGAGCTCCTTCCCTCATGATCCTTTTGTTCCCAAAAAAAAAAAAAAAAAAGGATCTGAGCAGAGAATCCTTGAGATTCCTCCAGGATTGCAGTGAGGATAAGGATGAAGCACACAGGGAAATCCTTCTTGGGAGAAAATTGGGAAGGAACTGGAGTGGAAAATGAAAATATCCAGGAATTAGATAGCTCTGGAAGCTGTGGGTTCTGAGGGACTGTAGGACAGGGAAAGGTTCATCCTGAGGGAAACTGGGATCTTTGGAATGTTAATGATTGATTAATTGCTGGATAAAGTCATTAACCTGCAGGAAATGTGGCAGGATGGCTCCGGCCAGCAACGAGAGCTGTGAGCCAAGTCCAAATCCAGGGATTTTAGAATTTCCCAGACCAGAAAAAGTGGGAATTCCTCCTGGGAATAAGGAGGGAATGTGTCCTGGAGGAATTGCCCAGTTGCTGTTTGCAGTAATTAATGAGTCTGAGGGTGCAAATCATGATGGGAGACACAAAATCTGTCCTGGAGGGGTGGAAGAAAGGAACAAAACTGCCCTAAAAGAGGGAAAACCACAGTGGGAAAACTCTCCTGGGGAATCCAGGTTAATTTTAAACCAATTGTTGTCAACACAGTTATAAAACCAAAGAATCTCTTTTCCCTCTGCAGTGAAAAACCACCAAGAATTATTATCAGAGTTAAAAACCTCCCCTAAAACCATTCTAAACCAAAAGCTGCTTCACTCTAAAAGCCCAAAGCAGCCCCAAATTCCCTCTCAGCTCCCCCAGCCCCAGCTCTGGTGTTAATTGTGGCTCAGGAGAGCAGAATTATCCCCTGGCCTCTGATCCCAGGTCCTGTTTGCATGGAAAACCCTGGAATACAAACCTGGCAGGGCTGAGGGAGAGGCCACGCTCAGAGCTGACCCCACAGTGCCTTTGCTGTCACTTTTCAAGGCAGAATTAATTTAAAGAACATTTTAAATTATTCATCGTTTCCTGCAGAGCTTGAGGCTTTTTTTATTTAATTATTTTAATTATAAGATATTGGTGGTGTTTAAGTGGCTGCAGAAGTTTAATTTGTTATTAATGATTTCTCAGTGGTAATTCCTGTCTTATCCCATTTCTTTTTTTTTTTTTTTTAAGGCTTCACTACAATATTTTCTACTGTTTGTATCTGATGGAAAATGCCTGTGGAATTGTGCAGCCTCTGGAAGAGGGAAGAGTGAATTTGTGTTCCAGGTGATCCACACAGTGCCCTGAGGGAATGCTGGGCATGCCATGGAGTGGGGAGCAAGTGGGGAGAAAGGGAATGGGATAAATTCATCCATCACTAAGGTCTAACAAAGATAAAACTGGTTTTAATGAGCTTAAGGTGCCAAATTCATTCTTAAAGCACAGAATGGTCCCTTACAAAGATATTTTCCTTTGTTGATGTGTGATGTTTTCCTGTATTCCCTAAAAAATCTTTCCCAAGATTTTATCTCCAGTATTTGCTTATTCCAGGCTTTTCTCCTTTTCCCAATAACCAAGATGGGATGGGATCAATCAACCCCTGATTTCCCAGTTGATTTCTTTTATGTGGGAGGATTTATTTTAGGGATTTTTAAAGGATTCATTCCTTTCCCACATGTTGATTGGAATTTTTTCCCTGTTTTCAGTGGATGGGCTGATGTCAAACTGACCCATGAACAGCAGAGGATTTTGAGTCACAAAATTGAGCCTGGCCAAACAGTGAAAATAATGGCATTTGCAGGTAAGAGCCCAAAACGTCAGAAAAATGTCTGGACAATTCCCAGTCTTCTCCTTCCCTCCCTGATCCCTCTGTCTGAGGGATTGTGAGATCCCAAGGGGATCAATTTGTGCCTCTGGGATAACAAATTTAAAATGGAGGCAGAATATAAACAGGGGAGAGAGGAGTGGGAAAATGTGGAACAGCCCTACAAATCCCAAATTTCGGAAAGGAGAACAAGGAGATACTACAGGTACTGGACTAGAGATTTCCCTGGAACCTCTGGAGGAGCAGTTCCTGAAGGATTTACCCCATGGAAAAGGGAGCAGTTCCTGAAGGATTTACCCCATGGAAAAAAAGAGATCCAGGCTGGAGCAGTTCCTGAAGGATTGACCCCATTGGAAAAGGGATCCAGGCTGGAGCAGTTCCTGAAGGATTGACCCCATGGAAAAGGGATCCAGGCTGGAGCAGTTCCTGAAGGATTGACCCCATGGAAAAGGGATCCAGGCTGGAGCAGTTCCTGAAGGATTGACCCCATGGAAAAAGGATCCAGGCTGGAGCAGTTCCTGAAGGATTTACCCCATGGAAAAAAAGGGATCCAGGCTGGAGCAGTTCCTGAAGCACTGACTCCATGGAAAAAGGGGTCCATATTGAAGTGGCAGATCCTAAAGCTGTGCCAGGGAAGGTTTAGGTTGGATATTGGGACAATTCCTCCATGCAAAGGCTTATCCAGCCCTGGCACAGCTGACCAGGCAGGGCTGGAGTCCCCATTCCTGGAGGGATTTTAAAATCCTATGGATGTGGCACCTGGGGACGTGGATGCCCTTGGAAGTGCTGGGAATGGTTGGCCTTGACCTGAAAAAGCTTTGCCAACCTAAATAATTCCCTGATTCTCTGAAATCAGGAGTGAAGTGGAATATTGGAGTTGGATCAGCAGGAGAAGGAGGTGTAAAAAAAAAAAAAAAAAAAAAAAGAAAAAAAAAAAAAAAAGTGGAATCATTAATTCCTGACAGTGGATATTTTATTCCTTATATTTTTTTGTTCCTTCTTTTCCTCTCCTCTCCAGGCACAGGGAAAACCTCAACCTTGGTCAAGTACGCGGAGAAATTCTCAGAGCTGAAATTCCTTTACCTGGCTTTTAACAAAGCTGTGGCAGAGAAGGGGGAAAAGGTTTTTCCAAGGAATGTCACCTGCAAGACCTTCCACTCCTTGGCTTTTGGAAGCATTGGGAGACGGTGAGTGGGGAATTGCAATTCCTTTGTGGAAGCAGGGAAAGGACGAGGAAGGGGAAGTGGTTTTGAGGGAAAGCTCCAGGATTTGAGGCAGCACAAATAATTGGGGGAAATTTGTCATTTATGGTTTCCAGATGGATGGGAGTGGGATGCTCCAGGGATTTTAGCATCCATGGGAGCATCCCAAAGCCAAGGAGCTCCTCACAGGGAGGTGGAAATTCACTGGGAATGAGGTTTTCCCACTTCCCATTCCCACTGGAATGCTGCAACTGCTCTAAGTGCTGCTTTTCATGAGGATCAATTTCTCTTCCAGAGGATCAGTTTCCTTATCCTGAGCTTTTTTCAGGATCCAATTTCTGTCCAGTTCTGGCACATTTAAACTGAGGGTAAGAAGGAAATGAGCTATGACCTAGAAAAAGAGGGAAATCCCATTCCTTGCCTCTGCAAACACACTGGAATTCTGGGCATGAGCTCAATTTTCCATCTCTAAAATGTATAAAATCAACACATTCGTGTTTGCACCAGGACAAATCTGTGCAGATTTAAAGATATTCCATTATTAGGATGCACCGGGATAGAAAGCTGATCTTTTTCCAGGGATAGTGCACAAAAAAAAAAGGGATTTCTGTAAGTTTTAACTTTTTTTATCTTTTTTTGTCTTTTTTTTAATTGTTCTTTTTTTTTGTCTCTTGTCTTGTTTTTGGTCTTTTTTTTGTCTTTTTTGTACCTCTGGCACAGCTACAAAGAGAAAGGCAAGCTGAACTTTTCCAAGATGTCCGTTTATTCCATCAGCTTCCTCCTCCGGAACAGGAAGGGCCAACCCCTGTTTGTAAGAGGGAAAACAGTGTCCCAAACCTTGGAAAACTTCTTCTCCTCCTCAGATGAGGAGATCTGTGAGGAGCACACGCCCCTGTGGTTCAAAAACGCTCAGGGACTGATGCAGCTCGTGAGCCAAGAGGAAAAGAGAGTGAGTTTTTGGGATGGAGCCTCTGGAATTTTCTGAGGTTGGATGGGGTTTGGAGAAGTCTGGGATAGTGGGAGGTGTCCCTGCTCACAGGTGGGGTGGCTTTGAGGTCTCTTCCAACCCAAACCATTCCATGATTTTATAAAATAATTCATGTTCATCGCCCTTCCCAATATGTTGATCTGCAGGGATCTTCCCATGTTCAACTGAAATTTGGGACGGGGGAAATTTGGGGATTGGGGAATCCTTCAGCCAGAGAAGGGGTTGGGGTAAATCCTGAGCTTTGGAAGAAATCAGAGGCTGGAAGCAACATTCCAAAGGAATTGGGAGAAGGAATCAAAGATTGGAAGGAAGAATCAAAAAACTGGGAGGAAAATCAAAAGTTTGGGAGAAAAATCAATAGTTTGGAAGGAGGAAAATCAAAAGATTGGGAGGAAAATCAAAAGTTTGGAAGGAGGAATCAAAGACTGGAAGGAAGAATCAATGTTGGAAGGAGGAAAATCAAAAGATTGAGAGGAAAATGAAAAGATTGGGAGGAAAATTAAAATATTCAGAGGAGGAATCAAAAGATTGGGAGGAGGAAAATCAAAAGATTGGGAGGAGGAAAATCAAAAGATTGGGAGGAGAAATCAAAAGATTGAGAGGAAAATCAAAAGTTTGGGAGGAGAAATCAGTGATTGGAAGGAAGAATCAGAAGGTTGGGAGGTGGAAAATCAAAAGATTGGGAAGAGGAATCAAAGGATTGGGAAGAAGATGATGTTTGGGAAAAAAGGGATAATCCCTGTTTTCCCTAAAAAATACTTCCAGCCAATCACCTCACCAAGTCCTTGTGGATCTGAGGAGCTGCTTGGGATGGGAAAAAGGGATCTGGGGCTTTTTGGGAATGGCTTCCCACTGCCAGAGGGCAGGGATGGATGGGATTTTGGGAATTAGGAATTCCTGCCCAAGCTGCCCCTGGATCCCTGGAATGTGCAAGGCCAGGTTGGAGCAGCCTGGGATGGAGAAAAAGGTCCCATGGGACTGGATGGACTTTGAGTCTCTTTCCAGCCCAAACCATTCCATAATTTAATTTTTATTCCATGATTTTATCCCAATACTTCTGGTTTTCCCATTTTAGATCAACGTGGAAGAGGCCAAAGAGATTTGGGACAACATGAAGAAGCTGGATGGAGACGCACAGAAGAAATACAAGATGACTTGTGATGGTAAAAGAGATGGAAAATCCCTTGGGAAAAGGGGATTTAATGGTAGAAAAATCAATGGATTTATTATTCCTGTTTTCGGCTGAGCATCCAGAAGGAGAAAATCCTTTTTTTTCTTGCCACTGGTTCACCAGGGAATATCCCTCTGGCTCAATTTTTCATTTTATGTGTATTTATAAAAGACATAAAATGAATTTGTGCTCTCACTTGGATAAAAATGTGCAGATTTTAAGGATACTCATATTTTTTAGTGGCTACAAATAAGGCCCAAAGTTGGAAGTTGCTTCCAGCACATCCTTTCCTCTGGATATAACTGGGAAAAACCTTTGTCTTGGAATTTTTGGTGGGCATTAAGAAGCTTGAAATCATCAAATTTGGGCTGCCAAGGGAGACCAGAGATTTTTTGCAGCCCTTCCAAATGTGGAAATTCCAAGCAGGAAGCAAGGCCAGAAATGTCATGGAAAAAAAAAAAAAGGAAAAAAGGGTTTTGTTTTAAAGATCCCGTGGTTCTTCCATCTCCTTGAAATTCCTGATTTTTTCCCTCAGGATATTTGAAACTTTGGCAGCTCAGCAAGCCCCAGCTCTCGGGATACGATGCCATTTTTGTGGATGAAGCCCAGGATTGCACTCCAGGTGAGTAATTCCAGGAGCTGGAGCTCCAATCCCACTTCCAGAGGAGATTTCCATGTGCTCGGAAATGTGGTGGAAGTATCTTCACCAAAATACGTGGAATTTAAACAAATTTTCCCCTCAGGTTTAAATGTTTGAACCAAGCTTTCCCTTAGGTTTGAAGCAGGTTCTTCCCCCATGATCCAAATTGAGCTTTCCTTTGTGTTTGGATTGGAGGAGGTTCTTCCTTCTTCATCCAAACTGAGCTTCCCATGGGTATGGAGCAGGTTCATCCCTCATGATTCAAACTGAGCTTTCCCTTGGGTTTGGAGCAGGTTCATCCCTCATGATTCAAATTGAGCTTTTCCTTAGGTTTGGAGCAAGTTCTTCCCAACTGGAGCAGGTTCTTCCCAAAGCAGGTTCTTTCCCTTGGGTTTGGAGCAGGTTCGTCCCTCATGATCCAATTTTATTTTTCCCCACAGCCAGCGTGGATATTGTGCAATCCCAAAAATGTGGGAAAATCCTGCTGGGAGACCCTCACCAGCAGAAGTTCTTCCCTCATGATCCCAACTGAACTTTCCTTTGGGTTTGGAGCAGGTTGTTCCCTCATGATCCCAACTGAGTTTTCCTTTGGGTTTGGAGCAGGTTCATCCCTCATGATTCAAACTGAGCTTTTCCTTAGGTTTGGAGCAAGTTCTTCCCAACTGGAGCAGGTTCTTCCCAAAGCAGGTTCTTTCCCTTGGGTTTGGAGCAGGTTCATCCCTCATGATCCAATTTTATTTTTCCCCACAGCCAGCGTGGATATTGTGCAATCCCAAAAATGTGGGAAAATCCTGCTGGGAGACCCTCACCAGCAGAATTTCTTCCCTCATGATCCCAACTGAACTTCCCCTTGGGTTTGGAGCAGGTTGTTCCCTCATGATCCCAACTGAGTTTTCCTTTGGGTTTGGAGCAGGTTTTCCACTCATGATCTAAACTGAGCTTTCCCTTGGATTTAGACCCTCATGATCCCAACTGAGCTTTCCCTTGGGTTTGGAGCAGGTTCTTCCCTCATGATCTAAACTGAGCTTTCCCTTGAGTTTGGAGCAGGTTCTTCCCTCATGATTCAAACTGAGCTTTTCCTTAGGTATGGAACAAGTTCTTCCCAACTGGAGCAGGTTCTTCCCAAAGCAGGTTCTTTCCCTTGGGTTTGGAGCAGGTTCGTCCCTCATGATCCAATTTTATTTTTCCCCACAGCCAGCGTGGATATTGTGCAATCCCAAAAATGTGGGAAAATCCTGCTGGGAGACCCTCACCAGCAGAAGTTCTTCCCTCATGATCCCAACTGAACTTTCCCTTGGGTTTGGAGCAGGTTGTTCCCTCATGATCCCAACTGAGTTTTCCTTTGGGTTTGGAGCAGGTTTTCCACTCATGATCTAAACTGAGCTTTCCCTTGGATTTAGACCCTCATGATCCCAACTGAGCTTTCCATTGGGTTTGGAGCAGGTTCTTCCCTCACAATCCAATTTTATTTTTTCCCCACAGCCATCGTGGATATTGTGCAATCCCAAAAATGTGGGAAAATCCTGGTGGGAGACCCTCACCAGCAGATCTACACCTTCCGAGGGGCCGTCAACACCCTCTACTTGGTGCCTCACACCCACATGTACTACCTGACCCGGGTAAGGACAGCATTTTCCATGGATAAATCCCAAATCCATGGAAAATTTGGCACTGTGGAGGGTTTGCTGTTCCCTGGATTGGGGGATCTGGAAGCTGTGGGGCTTTAGTGGAGAGATCTCATCCTGTTGATGGAAAAGTGAGAGTTGGGACTGAGGCCTTGGTGCAGGGAGATTCCTCATTTTGAGGGGATCACATCTGGAATGCTGAATCCAGCTGTGGGATCCAACTGACCTGGAGCTGCTGGGAAAGCAGGGAATGTTCTCCTGGAGAAGGGAAGGATCCAGGGAGAGCTTCCAGCACATTCCAGGGCCTGAAGGGGCTCCAGGAGCGCTGCAGAGGGACTGGGGACAAGGCCTGCAGGGACAGGACACAGGGAATGGCTCCCACTGCCAGAGGGCAGCCATGGATGGGAAATTGGGAATGAGGAATTCCTGGCTGGGCTGGGATTGCCAGAGCAGCTGGGGCTGCCCCTGGATCCCTGGAATGTCCAAGGAGAGGCTGGACACTGGGGCTGGAGCAGCCTGGGACAGTGGGAGGTGTCCTTGCCCATGGCCACCATTTCTGGGAGTATTTTGGAGAAAATTTGATGCTTTTTCCATGGAAAAAAATTGTCCAGGAGGTTGGTAGGACTCACATCATTTGGATTTAAGAATGATCAGGATTTCTAGGAATATTTTGGAGGGATCTTGATGCTTTTTCCAAGAGAAAAGTTCTCCAGTTCTTAAGAACAGCCAGGAGTTCTGGGAGTATTTTGGAGAAATTTTGATGCTTTTTCCATGGGAAAAAATTATCCAGAAGATTGCTGTGAATGCCATAATTCCATAGAGATAGGATTGTATAGATTCCAAGAATTCCTTCATGTTTGCCTGCTGATTTTCCCAGAGTTTCCGCTTCGGCCCCGAGATCGCCTACGTGGGCTCCACGATCCTGGACGTGTGCAAAGGGATCCGCAGTAAAACCCTGGTGGGAGGGAGGCAAAAGGGTGAGCTGGATTGGGAATTCCCAAGGCATTCCCAAAGAATTCCCCAAGTATATTTGTTTAATAATAAGTAATTAAATAGGGAATCATTCATTCGTTTATTATATTAAATTAATAGTAACACAAAAAATAATGAAATATAAATATTCAATTAATACAAAAAATAAAATTAAATTTATATTAAAATATGAATATTAGTTAAATTCCAAATTTGAATTAATTATAAAATATAAATGTAAAATAATAAAATATTATATTATGATAAAATATTAAAACAATATAGTAATAAAGTATTAATAATAATTGAATCCCTAAAAGTAAATTATACAGAGATATAAATATAGATAACATTTTAATATAAAATAATAAAATATTAAATTAAATTAAGAATAAGGTATAAATAAATCATTTCTTATAAGTAAATTTATAATAAAATGGAAATAATAAACATAAAATTAAATTAATAACAAAAATGAAATAGTAATTAATTTCCTGAAATTAAATTAATAATAAAAGATAAAGTTACATTTAGTAATAAAATATAATAAGTTAAATTATTAATGAAATATTGATAATATTAATCATTAATTAACTGGGAATTCCTGGCAGGAATGGCTGTGGATAACTGGGAATTCCTGCAGGAATGGCTGTGGATTACTGGGAATAACTGGGAATTCCTGCGGGAATGGCTGTGGATAACCATGAATAACTGGGAATTCCTGCAGGAATGGCTGTGGATAACTGGGAATAACTGAGAATTCCTGCAGGAATGGCTGTGGATAACTGGGAATGGCTGTGGATAACTGGGAATAACTGGGAATTCCTGCAGGAATGGCTGTGGATAACCGTGAATAACTGGGAATTCCTGCAGGAATGGCTGTGGATAACTGGGAATAACTGGGAATTCCTGCAGGAATGGCTGTGGATTACTGGGAATTCCTGCGGGAATGGCTGTGGATAACCATGAATAACTGGGAATTCCTGCAGGAATGGCTGTGGATAACTGGGAATAACTGGGAATTCCTGCAGGAATGGCTGTGGATAACCGGGAATTTCTCCCCAGGGGACGTGCGGGGAGGCCGGGAGGGGAACGTGGCGCTGCTGTCCCGGAGCAACTGGAACGTGTTTGAGGACGCCGTGGAATTCTCTGGGAGAGACCCCCCGGCCAAAATCCACGTCATTGGGGTGAGGGGCATGGCACCCACTCACATTCCAAGGATTTCACTGAATATTCCAGGAAAAAACAGGAATATTTTGTGCCCAGGGATGCTGTTATTCCCCAACCCTTGCAGGCCTCATCCCATTTTGAGGCCACAATCCATTTTTTGGATAATTTGTCGATTTTTATGAGGGATGGGGCAGTGAAAGAGGGATAGACTGCTGGAATAAAGAATTCCAAGGATTTCAGTGAATATTCCAGGAAAAAGCAGGAATTTTTTTGTGGTCAGGGATGTTATTTGGAGCTGTTCCTCTCCAACCTTTGCAGGCCTCATCCCATTTTGAGGCTTCTTCGTGCAGCCCTGATCCCATTTTTAGGATAATTTGTCCCATTTTTATGAGGGATGGGGCAGTGAAAAAGGGATGGACAGTTGGAATAAAGAATTCCAAGGATTTCAGTGAATATTCCAGGAAAAAGCAGGAATTTTTTTGTGGTCAGGGATGTTATTTGGAGCTGTTCCTCTCCAAGCCTTGCAGGCCTCATCCCATTTTTAGGATAATTTATCCCATTTTTATCAGGGATGGGGCAGGAAAACAACAAAAATGGTGGAAGTTGGAGAGGTTGGGAGCCTGATTTTGGGAATTTTAACAGATTTGGAGCTTGATCCTTGGGAATTTTAGGCTGATATTTCAAATTTTCCACCTAAATTCCAATTCAAGGAGGGGTTGAAGTACTCAGGACTGAAAATCTGCAGTTTGGAAAAAATTGAATTTATAAATACCATAAATTTATTATTTTTATTTGGTGTAGTTTTATTGTACTTTATGTTATGGTAATGTTATTTATTTTCATTTATTTTCATTTATTTTCGGTTTTTGTTTATTTTTATTTTGTTTTTTATGTTATTTTATGTTCTTTTATGTATTCGATAAATAAATTTTACTTTGTAAATAAAATAATCACATAAATTAAACATATTAAAAATATATAAAATAATAAATATTTTTAAAAAATAAAATAACACCTACAAATAATACATAAATAAAATTTGTTTTATAAGTAAATGTTATTTCTATATTTTATAAATATATTTTTCTTCCTTTTAGGGATTGGAGAGATTTGGCCTGAGCAGAATTTATGACATTTGGAAGCTCAGCTTACCTGCAGATGTCAGGAAAAACTGTGAGTATTCCCTTATTCTTCTTTTTTCCAGGATTTTTTAGCTTTTGCTGGAAATCAAAATCCTTTTAAAATAATAATAATAATAATAATAATAATAATAATAATAATAATAATAATAATACATTGTAGATAGTATATTATAGCATTATATATTATAATTTAACAATTAACCCTGGTTAATTTTATATTTCCTAATTAATTTTTTGGTTGAAGCTTCATTTTTAATGGTTTTATCACAGGCTGGACTATTTTGGCTGCTTAATTACAGAAATCCCAAAATTTGGGAATTTTTGTCAGGCATCTTTTCCCAACTTTCAACAGTGATTCCTTATTTTCAGTGTAAGTAAACCCAGAATTTGGGATATTTTTCCCAAATTTTTTCAATTTTTCAATCGATTTTCAACTTATTTTCAGAGTTCCCTGGATTGTTTTGGGTGTTAAGCTCCATTTTTAAAATTTCCTTTAAAATGTGGAATAAAATTTAGAATAAAATTAAAATAAAAATCAGGATTTGCTTTAAAATATCGAATAAAATTCAGGGAAAAAAAATCAGGATAAAAATCAGGATTTCCTTTAAAATATGGAATAAAATTCAGGATTTCCTTTAAATTCAGGATAAAATTCAGGTTAAAAATTCAGGATTTCCTTTAAAATATGGGATAAAATTCAGGATTTCCTTTCAAAAATAGAATAAAATTCAAGTTAAGATTCAGGATTTCCTTTAAAATGTGGAATAAAATTCAGGAAAAGACTCAGGATTTCCTTTCAAAAACAGAATAAAATTCAGGATAAAATTCAGGTTAAAATTCAGGATTTTCTTTAAAATATGTGATAAAATTCAGGAAAAAAATCAGGATAAAAATCAGGATTTCCTTTAAAATATGGAATAAAATTCAAGTTAAGATTCAGGATTTCCTTTCAAAAATAGAATAAAATTCAAATTAAGATTCAGGATTTCCTTTAAAATATGGGATAAAATTCAGGATTTCCTTTAAATTCAGGATAAAATTCAGGTTAAAAATTCAGGATTTCCTTTAAAATATGGGATAAAATTCAGGATTTCCTTTCAAAAATAGAATAAAATTCAAGTTAAGATTCAGGATTTCCTTTAAAATGTGGAGTAAAATTCAGGCAAAGATTCAGGATTTCCTTTCAAAAACAGAATAAAATTCAGGATAAAATTCAGGTTAAAATTCAGGATTTTCTTTAAAATATGTGATAAAATTCAGGAAAAAAATCAGGATAAAAATCAGGATTTCCTTTAAAATATGGAATAAAACTCAAGTTAAGATTCAGGATTTCCTTTCAAAAATAGAATAAAATTCAAATTAAGATTCAGTATTTCCTTTAAAATATGGAATAAAATTCAGGATTTCCTTTAAATTCAGGATAAAATTCAGGTTAAAAATTCAGGATTTCCTTTCAAAAATAGAATAAAATTCAAGTGAAGATTCAGGATTTCCTTTAAAATGTGGAGTAAAATTCAGGAAAAGATTCAGGATTTCCTTTCAAAAACAGAATAAAATTCAGGATAAAATTCAGGTTAAAATTCAGGATTTTCTTTAAAATATGTGATAAAATTCAGGAAAAAAATCAGGATAAAATTCAAAATTTCCTTTAATATATGTAATAAAATTCAGTATAAAACTCAGGATAAAAATCATCCCTTTAAAATCCACCAGCAACAGCTGAATTTTTTTTTTTATGGCGACAACAAAAGATTCCCCAATTATTTGATTCCATCAATATTATTCCCGCTTATTTTTTTTGCGTGGTGAACTCCGAAGGAATTTTGCCTGACTGCTGGAAAAGGAGGGAAATCAAGACAGGATGGAAAAATATTGAATAAAAATTAAAATGTCTGAAATTAATCCCTTCCCCCCCTGGTAGCAAACCTGGTAATTGAAGATTCCTTCATCAAAAAATGGGAAGACTCGGAGGGGCTGCCGGGGCTGAGGGAATACGCGGCGCGTGTGGACGACAGGGACCTGGAGGTGAAGATTTCCATCGTGGAGAAGTACCGGGAGAGGATCCCAGAGCTGGTCACCAGGATCAGAGGCAGCCACGTGTCCCAGGAATCCCTGGCAGGTGAAAATCGGGATCGTTTTCCATGCTGGGGAAAGGCTCGGGTTGGGTTTTTAGGGAGAGCAGAGGTGGAATGGGAAGTTTTGGGGTTGGAGTGGCTGGGCTCTGGAGGCAGGTTGGAGAGTTGGGAATGTTCTGCTGGAAAGGAGAAGGATCCAGGGAGAGTTTCCAGCACATTCCAGGGCTGGGAGAGCTGGGAATGTTCCCCTGGAGAGGAGAAGGATCCAGGGAGAGCTTCCAGCACATTCCAGGGCTGGGAGAGCTGGGAATGTTCCCCTGGAGAGGAGAAGGATCCAGGGAGAGCTTCCAGCACATTCCACAGCCCAAAAGAGCTCCAGGAGAGCTGAAATTTGGGAAAAGAAAGGAGGGATGGGACACAGGGAATGGCTCCCACTGCCAGAGGGCAGCCATGGATGGGATCTTGGGAATGAGGAATTCCTGGCTGGGCTGGGATTGCCAGAGCAGCTGGGGCTGCCCCTGGATCCCTGGAATGTCCAAGGAAAAGGCTGGAGCAGCCTGGGATGGTGGGATTGGAATGGGATGGGATTTGAGGTCCCTTCCCACCCAAACCATTCCGGGATTCTGGGATCAAGGAGGCCCAGAATCCCTCCCGAGGGATTTTTGTGGAAGTTGGGGATGGAAAAGGGAAGGGAGACCCTTCCTGGAGTCCCAAGATTCCCAGTGAAGCCCCCGGATCACAAAATTCCTTCCTGGAGCAGAGTTGGGGTGGGGATGGATCCAATGCCAGGCTGGGAGAGCTGGGAATGGAGAGAGTTCCCTGGGAAAGGGAGATTGGAGTGGGATTTTGGGAATGAGGAATTCCTGGCTGGGTGGAATTCCCAGAGCAGCTGGGGCTGCCCCTGGATCCCTGGCAGTGATCCCAAAACCAGGCTGGACACTGGGATAATAGAAATTGGAGCCCTTCCCATTTAGGATTCCTGTTGGAATTTGGGGAGAGAAAATTCCTCAAATGCTCAGCATTCCCTTTTGAGAATGTGGCTGGAGCTTGGGATACCAACCAGGAATTTCCCTTGGTACAAATTCCCTTCATCCATCCGGATTCCCCACAGAGGAGCTTTGCTCCTGATTTAACTCAGGCAGAAGGGGAACGGGTGCAGAATGAAAGGAAACAAAAAATACCATCACTGCTGCCAAGGCTCACCCTTTTTCCTTGATTTTTCCCAGATTTTCTCATCGGGACCGTGCACCAAGCCAAGGGCCTGGAATTCGACACCGTTTGCGTCGCGGATGATTTTGTGCAAATCCCTTCTGTCAGTGGGGCTTTCCTGAGAATGAACATTGCTCTTGGTGAGGGAACAGCCCCCTGGGGACCCCAAAAAGTGGGAAAGGAGAGCGTGGTGAAGGGCTGGAGAGTGAGAACGGAGCTGGGAAGAGTCTGGAAAACCAGGAAAAGCTGAGGGAGCTGGGAAGGGGCTGAGCCTGGAGCAAAGGAGGCTCAGGGGGGACCTTGTGGCTCTGCACAAGTCCCTGCCAGGAGGGGACAGCCGGGGGAACAGGGACAGGAGGAGAGGGAACGGCCTCAGGCTGGGCCAGGGGAGGTTTGGATTGAATATTTGGGAATTTCTCCATGGAAAGGAGCCTTCAGCCATCCCAAATCCCTCCAGGCTTTGTTTTCCTCCTCCTCCTCCTACCAGGACAAGCAGGAGTTTGAATATCCCAGGTTTCTTCCCAGCTTTCCATAGAGACAGAGCCTGAAATCCTCAGCAGGGAGAAAATCGGGATCAGATTCCCACCCCAAGCACATCCAGCAGCACAAAATGCCAGAGATTCATCCCAAATGGAATCCTGGAATGGTTTGGGTGGGAAGGAACCTCAGAGCTCATTCTGGGGAACGCTGGCTGAAGCATTGGAAGGACCACAGACAGCTGCTCATCCCTAAATCCATGGATTGTCTCTCCTCCCTCCTAGACAGGACCCCTCAGGATGAGTGGAACCTGCTCTACGTGGCCGTGACCAGAGCCAAGAAGTGCCTGCTGATGTCCAAATCCCTGGAAAACCTTTTATGCCTGGCTGGAGTAAGTGAAACCTTCCCAGGGCAAGGGAATCCTGCTGTGGGGTGATTCAAGGCACCAAAGGATAATCCTAAAGTCCACCCTAATCCTAGGATTCGTGCCATGGACTGTTCCTTGTGCTGGCATGCACCAGAATAGCAGGAATCACTTTTATTCCTGCATTTTGCTGCTCCATCAGACATTCCAGTAGGCAGACACAGGATTGCAGTGGGCTTCTTGCATTTGGATGTTGTTTTCCACAGATCCTGGGGTTTTATCTACGTGGAAGTGTGGAGGTTCCCTTTTCCCTGCCTGCAGGGACTTCCAGCTCTTCCTTTATCTCCTCCCTTTCCTTCCTTTTTCCTTTTCTTTTTCCTTTTTCCTTTTTCCTTTTCCTTTTCCTTTTCCTTTTCCTCTCCCTTTTCCTTTTCCTCTCCCTTTTCCTCTTCCTCTCCCTTTTCCTCTTCCTCTCCCTTTTCCTCTTCCTCTCCCTTTTCCTCTTCCTCTCCCTTTTCCTTTTCCTTTTTTTTTTCTTTTCCTTTCCTTTTTTTTTTCCTTTTCCTTTTCCTTTTCCTTTTCCTTTTCCTTTTCCTTTTCCTTTTCCTTTTCCTTTCCCTTTCCCTTTCCCTCTCCCTTTCTCTCCTTCCTACCATTGGCTTCTGGAGCATTTTCATCACCAGGAATTTGGGGTTTTGTTTCTTCTTTAAATCCCATCATATTCCAACTCTCTTCCTTAGGGGTTAAAAAAATTATGGAACAATCTTCAGCTTCCCTCAGCTCCCCCTGAGGGATGAAATTCCCTTTTTCCCGTGTTTCCTAGGAGCGTTTTCTCCGGGTGGAGCTGCTGAGTGAGGCTGGGAAGGACAAGGATGCAGCTCCTGTTGCTTGCTGTCTGTCAGGATGTACAAAATCCCTGGAACTCAGCTCCGGGCTGGTGGTGAAGAAGCTCCCATTGATTCACGTACGTCCGTTCCCTGGGATTTGGGATCTGGGAGCCTTCCCGAGCCATTCCAGTCTCTGTTCTGAGCAGGGATCTCAGCTCCCCATCCATTTCCTTGAGCTCACAACCAGGGGTGACTTCCAAGGGTAATTCCAGGTTGTTGCACTTCCCACAAATCCACTCCATCCTGAACATCCCATCCGAGATCTCAGGTGGATCCAGGTTTGCGGTTTTGTTGTGTCAGATCCCGTGTGTGACTCCTGGAGTCCATGGAATATCCGTGTGGGATTGGCACAGCACCCCTGGCCCCAGGCACAGCCCAACTTGTGGGGCCAGGTTTGGCTTTGGTCCCACCTGGATCCTTCTCCAGAGGGGGCTGGGAAGGCCAAGCTCCGCAGGGAACACGAGGTCAGTCTGGAGCTCCATGGCCAGGACAGGGGGCAGGACAGGAGGGAGCAGCCTCGGGCAGTGCCAGGGAGGTTCAGGGTGGTGCTGGGGACAATTCCTCCATGGAAAGGTTCCCAAGCACGGGATGGGCTGCCCGAGGCAGGGCTGGAATTCCCATTCCTGCAGGGATGGCAAAGCCCTGTGGATGTGGCACCTGGGGACGTGGCTTGAGGCCTCAGGTTTACCTTTTCTATTTTCACATTCTGAGCTGGTTTGGTGTGTGGGTCTCGGCTTCACATTACGGGATGGTGAGCTCTGTGCACAGAGCAGAGACAAAACAATTCCTGCTCCAGCTGGGACCAAGGACAAATGATCCAAATCTCAGCCCAGGAGCACAAACACCGTGGGCTGGAGAGAGAAAAACAAGCAGGGTGGGACTGCCTGGGCTAAAGCTGGAATGGGACAATGAACTCCAAGGTGCCAATGGAGCAGAACTGATCCCAGGGAGAGCCCCCGGGAGCGCTCGTGCATTTTGGGGCCATTTTGGTTCATTTGGGTGCAGCCCTGGCTGGGCTCTGGTGGATCCACAGAGGAGATCCTTTTCATAAATCCTGAATTTATTCTTTAGCTCTGCCCAGCCTCTGCTCTAGATCAGGTTCTCAAGACATCAGTTCACCTTGGAGTAGTTGGACTCGATGTCCTTAAAGACCTTTTCCAACCATTCCATGATTCTCTGTGGGATTTCCTTGCTTTGGGCACATCATGGCTCCCTTCCCTGGACTGTGGCAGAGCTGGGAAGCTGAGGTTGTGTTCCTGCAGCTTCCTCTTCCCTGAAATATCCTCTTTTCCTCCCACAGAGCGATGGCAGCCAGGACCCAGGGGGATTCCTTTGCCAGGCTTGCACCCAGATGTTCTTTGGCTCCCTGACTCCACTCACCTCTTTCCCAACAATCCAGTAGGAGCCCATCCAGCTCTAACAAAGCCCTCCAGCTTCCCAGATCTATCCTGGATGTGGCACAAATCCTCTTGGCACATCCCAGCTCCAAATTCCAGGTGAACGTTGGAACAGGATTTCAGTCCAGCTCCAAATTCCAGGATGTTCCCAGCTCCAGAGGAACTTCCAGGCTCCCTGGGAGTGATGTGATGCCTTTCCTCTAGCCCTGCCTCATCCTCCAGGAGCTGGGAGTGGGATATCCAGAGGAATCTGCACTTTAGGAATGGATCAGACAGAACAGGATTAATTTTGGAACATTCCCTCTCTTCCCCCTGTCATCCAGGGGATATTCCTGAAAATCTCATCATTCCTGGAAATCCCTCTGATCTGCTGGATAAAGAGGAAACACAACGCTGGAAAGTATCCAAAGAAAGTTTACTTCTTGTAAATGAACTGTTCCTGTCCAGCCATGGGAGGAAATCATGACACTCTCCCAGTGAATTAATTTTCTATCCTTGAAGCTGAGGGGTTTCCTTGGATTCTTTCCCTTCTCCCTGCAGCCAACCAGGAAGGAAGAAATGAGGTAGCAGCAGAAAAATTCCTTTGGACTGGTTCCAGCCAAACTCAGGGACAAACTGAAGAGGGATTTCCTATCCTAAAATTAAGTGCATAGCCAACAAAAAGCCTTAACACTTCCTTTGTGTCTCTTCCCTGCCCTTAAATACCCTTCATTTCCCGGGAATGCTCAGGTGGATCACGCTCTCAGTGCGCTGTGCCACAATTCCAGAGGCTGTGCCATGGGAAATCAAAACTGAAAGTGGTTTTAGGAATCTGCCCTTGGACACAGGCTGGAGCTGTGGGCTGTGCCTGCTGCAGGAATCTCAGACATCCTGATTTTTTCCATTCATGGAGCTGCTTCCCTCCCTCTCCTTTCAATATCAAAGCCAACTCAGGAATGCATTCCCATCGTGGGCAGGAATTCCCTCAAACCCTTGGATCGGGATGGAAGCCATTGGATCAGGCACCTCCAGTGCTCCCTTCCAGCCTCTCCTGTTTCCCGAGCATCCCAAGTTCCTTGGGAGCAGGGATGTGCCCAGTGCTGTGCCTGTCACACATCCCGGGATCAGAGGCACAAACAGGGCAAGAGCAGCATGGAAAAGCTGTGGAATTTCAGCTGTTGGATCCCTCCTGCTTCCCAAGCTTTTTGAGAACTGGCAGCTTCAGAGGGTGGGAATGAACCCTTCACTTGCGTGGTGTCCAATGAGAATGTCCTTGGTGCTGTGGGGATGGATTCATCCCAATCCAGTCCTTCCCAGCTGAGACATCCAGTTAAAGAATCCACTGCTCTGTTATTTTCTATATAAAATATATGTATTTATACATAAAAATAAATAGCTACCTTTTCCAGGAAACAACAAGTGGATAAAACCTGGATAAGGAAACAACAAGTGGATAAAACCTGGATAAGGAAACAACAAGTGGATGGATAAAGGAAAAACACACAAAAGGAAAATATTCCCTGAATTGTGTTATTTGGTCCTTGCTGAGACTGCTCCAGCTTGGATTCCCCGTGAGCCGGTGGGGATCGGGATCCAGAGCCGGGATCGGTGCTGGAAGTGCTTCCAAAGGATCCCTGAGCTGTGTGTGGGGTGGGATGCTCCCAACACCTTTGGCTCTGGCCCAGTGGCTGGAAGAGAGCAGGAAAGGGATGAGGAGGTGGGGAAATGCTTGGCTGGGTCCCTCTCCGTCCATTTTCTGGGATCTGGGACAAAGCCAGGAAAGGGATGAGGATGTGGGAAAATGCTTGGCTGGGTCCTTCTCCATACATTTTCTGGGAAAGGGATGGGGCAAGTATCCAGCGAAACCAACTCTATCCATGCTCCTAGACAGGGAATAGGAATTACCTGGGGCAGGGCAGCTCAGCTTCATCCCAAACCCCATCCCGACATCCCAACCCTCTCCCTACCCACTGCCAGCATCCCCACGGCCAATTCCGCCAAATCCCAGCTCCCAGTGCAAGACACCCACCCACCTATGGGATCATCCATGGGAATCATCCATGTTCAGGCCGGGAAGAGCAGCCAAGCATCCCTGGCTGCTCCTCAGGGAAGCATCCAGAATTCCATCCTCCGGCATCCCTCGGGATGGTGGGTGCGCCCAGTGTCCCCAGGGTGGGCGCTCAGCCCGTGGGGACAATGACAGGAGGTGCCACCTCCTCACTCCCAGGAGGATGAGCCTCCATGGGAATGTCCATCTCTGTCTCCATGTAGCCCTGCCTGGTGCGCCTGTGCAGGGAAGAGGAGCATCAGTGGCATTCCGAGGCTTTTCTTTGGAAAAGCTTTGGAAAACTCATTCCTGGGGTTTGGCACTTACTTCCTCCTCCTCCAGCAGCAGACGGCCGCAATTCCAATGGCCAGCAGCACCAGGAGTCCTGAGGGATGGACACTCAGGGTGAGGAGCATCTCCCAACCCACAGCTGATGAATTCCATCCAAATAGCTCCATAAGGAGCCAAAACCACTCTGGGCACCATCACGAGGTGCCCTCCCCACCCCCAGAGGAAGGGAATTGGGAATTATTCTTTCCAGGAGGAAATTTGGGTGGTAAATCCTTCCCCCACTCAGTGGCATTCCCATTGCCCATGGAATAAAGCTCCCACAGCCCCCAAAAGGGATTTGAAACTTAAAAAAATTAACATAAGCCCCTTTTTCCCAAATAAGTCGTTTGGGTTTTTTTTTTCCCAGCTTACCAACAGAAGAGGCCACGGACTGGATGGAAACTGGAAAAAAAGAAAGAAAAGAAATTTTGAGCTGGAGAGGTAGGAAAGGGATGGATGCTGGGAGGAACCTCACTGAAAAGGAGGTTGGAGAGAAGGAAGAATTCCATTGGAAAAGCAGAAGAAACAAGCCCCAGGGGAGGTTTGTATTCCCTTGGGATTCAGCCCAACCTGGGGCATAATCTGTGGGTGGGATGGGCAGTGGGGTTGTCCCCTCTCCCAGCGTGGGTGTGTCCGGTGTTGGAATCATCTCTGGTGGCCTGGATCCGTCTGGTGACAGCCCATCAGGTGCTGGTGGCACAGGTGACTGACTGGAAGCTGGAGAGGGGCTGGAATTCAGGCTGGCACCGGTGGTACCTGCTGGGAAAAGAGTGGGGAATGTTTAAATTCCCAAAATCGATAGGCAGCGCCGTTATTTCCATTCCCTCGTCCAACAGCTACAGAATTCACTGGGATTTCACCTCATGGGGTGAATCTGATCCCAGCATGGGAATGTTGTGGTTTCCACACCCTGGTAGCTGTGACTTTGCTCCCAGGCAGCTCCAAGCCCAATCCCAATCCCAATTCTGTTCCTCACCTCTCTGGGTTGTGGTCTCCGTGCCGGGGGTTTCCCAGGAAAGAGACGGATCTCCTTTGGGAAAACACAACAGGGAGAGTTCAATTCCCATCAGCTGGGAAATGAACTCTCTAAGTGGTTTGGATATTTAGAGAGTCAAAATTATTTTATCCAGCGTTGAGGTCTGCGGGAAATTCCACAAATTCCAAAAAATGGATGTTCGTTGTCAAATTCTAACAACTTTTGCATTTTAGCAAAAAAAAAAAAAAAAAATTATGTTGACTGGCTTCAAGTTATTAATTACCATTCTGTTTTCTATTGATTAATAACTTGTCTGTTTTTAATTATCCTAATTAATCCATATTTTCAGCCTTTTAATTATGTTTTCCCAGATTGGGCACCTCTGGTTTACACAAAGTCTCTGTGGTTTATAAATTCCATGTTCCTGGCGTTCCATCCTCAACAATAAATTCCTCCCCTGGGTCAGGGAACACTGAAGGATGCGAGGCCCTAAACTTTTGTTTTCCCAACCCAGGGACAACTCACGATCCATTAGGAATTCCACTGATTAAATTCCTCTCCATAATTCTCCCTCCATTTCTGATTCTTTTGGAAGGAACGGAACATGGGTGGCACTCGTATTTCTCCAGTCCCAGATTCCCATGGAGCACTTACGGATGCACTGGAGCGTGGGGTCGGTCCAGCGGGGCTCGGAGCCGTTCCAGAGGATGCACTGGATGAGGTTGGAGGTCCCGGCTTTCCGTTTGTATCCGGGGTTGCAGGAGTAGCGCAGGCGGGAATTCAGCTCCGTGCGGTTCCCAACCTCGATGCGAGCGTTGGCCACGGCCTTGGGGCGGCTGCAGTGCGCTGGGATGGGCAAAAAAAACATGGAATCACAACAGGGAAATCAGACAACCTCTGATTGTGATGGGGAATTCCCCACTTCTCATCCCTGGCAGTGTCCAAGGCTGAGTTGGATGGGGCTTGGAGCAGCCTGGGATAGTGGAAGTTATCCTTGTCCGAATGAGGCGATCCCTAAATTCCATTCCAACCCAAACCTTTCCATGATTCTGTACAATCCTGCCTAGGGCTGGACATAGGGATTCATCCATCCTGCAGAAATAAAGGGACGCTGTGCCTGACACAGGGCATGGAGAAAAGGAAAATATTCCCAGCATTTTTGGGATCATTTGTAGCAGCTCTTCCAGAGGCTGGAGAAAGGAAAAATTCCACTTCCAGCATGTTTGTGGTCGCTTGTTGCAGCTCCTCCAGCCAGCAAGCAGTTTTTATGGAATTCCATCCCCTTGCAGCGAGTGTCCCAGGCCAGAAGTCCCAGCTGCCTCCAGCTGCTGAATTCCAGCTGCAGTCACAGCCCCCGTCCTTCTCCACTCATTTCCCAGCTAGACATGAAAAATTCCACCTGCTGGTGACTTCTCCAGCCACTTCCCAGGGGTTTTTCCCCTCTGGAAAGTGGCAGTTGAAATCCAAGTATCCCAGACAGAGGGATAATGATGGATTTTGAGTTGTGGTTTTGCTTTTCCCCAAACAAGCTCCCATTTCCCCTTTGGCCTCAGAACAAGTTTGGTTCCATGATGAAATAGCAGATGGATATCTGGGATGGGATGGATGAGCAGGAGGGAGTGATGGATATCTGGGATGGGATGCACAGATAGGATGGATGCATGCAGGGTTGGAATGTGAAGTATGGCTAGGATGGATCAATAAGAAGTATGGGAAGCAGGAATAGGATGGAATGATGATAACTGGGATGGGAAGCAGGAATAGGATGGAGCAATGGATATGTGGGATGGGAAAGTAGGAATAGGATGGAGCAATGGATATGTGGGATGGGAAAGCAGGAATAGGATGGAATGATGGATATCTGGGATGGGAAGCATGGATAGGATGGAATGAGGCATGGCCAGGCTGGATGGATGAATTGATGCCTGCCATGGATGGAACAATGTCCAGCTGGGATGGAGCAGTGTCCAGCCAGGAGGAACACACAGCTGGGCTGGGATCATTAGGGAATAGAGATGGAAGAAGAGTGGGAATGGGAATGGGAATGGGAATGGCATGGCAGTGAGGACAGAAGCATATGGGGATGGGAACGTGCCGGTGACAAGGACAGCGGGCACCAGGGACAGGAGTGTGATGGGAGCAGGATGGGAATGGAAATAGTGGGAATGGGAGCACAGTGGGGAATTGGAAACCATGGGGATGGGAACAGGATGGGGAATTGGGAACCGTGGGGATGGGAGTAGGATGGGAAGGGAACTGGCACAGCAGCAGTGGGGACAGGAACACAGCGTGCTCCCACAGCACCCAAAACATCCAGAGATAAAAATCTCCAGTCTCAAAAACTCCTGCCCCAATTTGTGGTGTATCCCCAGAACATCCCAGAGGGAATCTGTTCCATTTCAGTGCCAGGGTGGATCCAGATGTGATCCTGGCCAGTGTGGCCGGAGGACATGAGTGATGTGGGGACACGCGTGTGCTGAGCACAGCAGCTGTCGGTCTTCTTTCAAGATGTGGGTGAAATTCCTGGAATCAGCAGCTCTTGGAACCAGGATTCAAGGAAATCCCCCCTGCCTGGGGGATGTTGAAGTGTCACAACTCACCAGACCTGGCACTGTGCCTTTAGTCACAGAGAAACCCTCCCGGTTTCTCACTGACTAATCAGAATGGTGCCAATTCCCAAATCCCAGTGCCAATTCCAGCTGGAAACACCAAAAATATCCAGGAAAAACAGGGATCTGCAAGCTCTGTTTATGCCTTCCAGCTTTTAAACCTGCTCTCCTTATCCCTCCAAAGAGGTCTGTTTTTTTTCCAGTTGCTTGGAATCTTCTCTTCCCAAAAAATGCCCAAGTTGTTCAAACAAGATCCCAGCAGCGCCACTCTCCAGGATCACCATCCATGGATTGCAGCTTGTTTGATGGGACCAAGCACATCCCAAGAGGGAAAAGGGGAGGAATCAGCTGGAGATGCAGGATTTAGGCTTTAATTCCTCAGAAGTGAGTTGGAATTTCCCATGGATGGATCATCCCAGGTGCTCAAAGGCTCATCCCCTTCTTGGCCAACCTCCCAAAGGAGCCGACCATGCCAGGAAAACACCTCCAGCTGCCTTATTTCCACCTGGATCCTGCTGGGATAAAGCATCCAGCTTGCAACGTGCTTGATATTTTGCATTTCCATGGATTTTTTTACTTCATTTATTCTGTTTTTCTCCACCAGGAAAAACTTGTCTGTTCTCCTTAAAAAATTATCAGGAAAAGGCCCAGAGAGGTGGGGTTTTTCTGCTCAAAATTTAAAAGCCATGAGCCAAAAAAAAAAAAAAAGAGAAGAAAAGAGGAATTTCACAAATCTGGATGCAAGAAAAATCCATGAGAAATGCCAAGATCATGTAAATAAATAAAACTTTCATGTTTTAACTCAGAAGTATTTCCAGCTGAGCAGGAGAGAACAGTGGGAACATCGTGGGATACAGCAGCACATCCCGAATTATCCATCACATGAACTAAAAGAAATAAATATTTGTTTTCTCTAATACCCCCTAAACCCACGTTTTTTGCCCCAAACAGGGATCCTGGTGGCAGCACTGCTGCCTGGAGTGTTGTCTGGATGTCTGGGCTTGGTGGTCAGTGAGGAATGACTTTAAGGGGGGCTAATTTTAGGTGTTTTAGGGGCTCTTCTGACTTTTGTCCCCCAAGACTTTTATGTTCCCGGCCATTCTGTTATAAATAGGGATAAATTCATTTCCCAGGGCTTCAGGAGCACACAGCAGCTTGGAGAAGAGTGAGCACTGAAGCTGTGCCAAAGTTTTGCATTTCCTTCCATCCTTACTTCACAGAATCCTTCGCAGCTGCCACATTATCAGCAAATTAAATATTTCCTAATGGTCTTTCTGCTTCCAGCAGCTCCTGGGAGGATGAGCCAGAGCAGAGTTCCAAGGGTGGAGTTGTGATGAGATTTTTCCCAAAGCTCCAAGAGCAGCAGAGCTGGGGAAGGGTCTGGAAAATCAGGAAAAGCTGAGGGAGCTGGGAAGGGGCTGAGCCTGGAGAAAAGGAGGCTCAGGGGGGACCTTGTGGCTCTGCACAAGTCCCTGCCAGGAGGGGACAGCTGGTGGGTCAGGCTGTCGGGCTCCAGGGGGATTTTAGGGAAAATTTATTCCTGAAAAAGTTGGTAAAGCATCGGAATGGGCTGCCCAGGGCAGGGGTGGAGTCCCCATCCCTGGAGGGATTTAAAGCCATGCAGATGTGGCACTTGGGGACATGGCTCAGTGGTGGCCTTAGCAGTGCTGGGTTAATTCAGTGACTTTGAAGGTGTCTTTCAGCTATCATGATCCAGTGATTCCAGGATTTTGGACTTTAGCAGCACCAAGACAATGATGTGACCTTCCAGGCTCAGCAGCCACGGACAACTCCTGGTGCCATGGAAAACCCACGGAGCGCACCCAGGCCAAAATCCCACAGTGATGCAGCTGCCATGGGTCCATCACACCCATCCTAAAATCACCCCCAAACTCCCTGGACACTGTGAGGAGGTGGTGTGGGAATGCCAAGAGCGAGGTGAGCACCCAGGGAACACAGGGCTGCAGCCTGGGCACTCTGGGGGGGGTCACCAGGCACCCAGGGAGAGGTTTGGGAATGCAGGGAGCAGCGTGGGCACCCCAGGGAGCAGCAAGGACACCTTGAGTGGGAGCTTGAGTACCTCAGGGAGCTGCCTGGGAACCCAGGGAAGCAGAATAGACACCCCAGGGATGGCATGGGCACCCCAGAGAGCAGCCTGGGCACCCCAGGGAGCGGCATGGGCACCCCAGGGAGCAGCAAGGACACCTTGAGTGGGAGCTTGAGTACCCCAGGGAGCTGCCTGGGAATCCAGGGAAGCAGAATAGACACCCCAAGGATGGCATGGGCACCCCAGGGAGCAGCCTGGGCACCCCAGGGATGGCATGGGCACCCCAGGGAGCAGCCTGGGCACCCCAGGGGTGGCATGGGCACCCCAGGGAGCAGCCTGGGCACCCCAGGGGTGGCATGGGCACCCCAGGGATGGCATGGGCACCCCAGGGAGCAGCATGGGCACCCCAAGTGGGGGCTCGAGTACTCCGGGGAGTAGCGTGAATCCTCCGGGAAGCCGAGCGGGCATCCCCGGGAGCAGCGCGGGCGATCCGGGAGTACCGCGGGCATCCCGGCGAGCGGAGCGAGGAAGCAGCTTCGGGGTGGCACGGGCACCCCAGGGATGGCACGGGCACCTCAGCGGGAGCTGGGAAAGCCCCGGGAACGGCGCGATTCCCTCCGGAAATCGAGCTGGCTCACCTGGGAGCGGAGCGGGGATCCCGGGAGCACCGCGGGCATCCCGGGGAGCGCAGCGGGGATGGGGCGTAGGGACCCCGGGGAGGGGGTGGGCACCCCGGGGAGGGGGTGGGCACCCCGGGGAGCGTGTGGGCACCCCGGGGTGGGCTCGGACAAGCCGTGGGGAACCCGGGGCTGCCGCCCTTACCGGTGTCGGCGGCGGAGCGGAGCAGCAGGAGAGCGGCGGTGCCGCAGAGCAGCTGCAGCAGCGGCGGTGCCATGGCCCCGGTGCGGGACCGGCTCCAGCGGCAGCTCCGCGATGCTTCCCTCACTTCCCTGCCGCTGTCGTCGTCCCGGTGTGGCCCCGAACGGTTTCGCTTTCGCTTTCGAGCCGGAGGCACCGGGTGGGACGCGCCGCCCCGCCGGGAATGGCAGCGGGGGCAGGGAGGGGATGCGGAGATTTGGGGGATTCGGTACCCGAGAGGAATTCGGTACCCCGGGATGCAATGCCCCAAAAGGGATGAAATACAGCGATGCAGACAGTATCCAGCGAGTGTGAGATGCCCCGGGAGGAAGAGGATGAAATATTTGGGTTCGTGGCCCCGGAGTGCAGGATGGGATGGGGAAAGGGGATGGGATACCCCTGGAGGGATGTAATATGGGGGTTGCTGCAATACGAGGAGATTCGTGGTTCTCTTGGGATGCAGCACCTTGGGCAGGGATGCAATCCCGGCAGGAGATTCCTTGCCCAGGGGAATGCGAGGGAATCGCGGTGTCCTGGGGGGATGCAGCTCCTCCCTCCCGTGCCCGCCCGTGGCTCTGTGTGGGAATCCAGAGCTTCCCTCTGGCTGCCCTGGGACCCTGGCAGGGGTCAGGAACCCCCCTGGACAGAGCCCCCAGAGACACTGGCTGTGATCTCTGTCCATGGAAAAGAGTTTTCAATCTTACAGGATGAATTACCAGCTCTGAGTGTTTGATATAAGCAATAATTAAGTGTGGCATGGGTGCAAAAGTAAAATTTTAGGTTTCTAGATGAGGGGTCCAAAGGGGACAAGATGGAGGAAATTGGGTGTGCCTTGTCCTTTTTCTCCTTCTTCATGCCCTCCATGTTTCACTGTGGTGTTGGCATTTTTCTGTTGGTTCAGGCTGGGGACACACTGTCCAACGTAGGTGACAGATATTGGCACGTTATTGTAAATCCAGCACAGGTAGTTTGTGGTATTTAATGTTTGTACCATCCCACTGAGGGCAGAGCCCCACACGCTGCCCTGCAGGACAGAGCTGCGGCAGGGCAGCAGAACATGTTAGAGATAAACAGAATAAACAACCTTGAAACCAGCACAGACCAATTATGGCTTCTTTGGCAACAGGGCAGAAAGACAGAGACTTTTTATAATCTCAGAATCATCAATACCACAGATTCCAACAGGTCTGAGGGGTTCCATGAATTCCAGTGCTGGAGCTGGAACATACCAGTGCCCACAGAAATCTCAAAAATTAAAAACCAGCCGTGCTCCAGCCCTGGGAGTTCTGCAGCATTTGTAGAACTCAGATCCCAAAGATTCTACTCGAAGCTACCCTTTATTTATTCTCACGTGGGTTTTGTTGTTGTTGTTGTTGTTGTTGTTGTTTTGTCAGTAATAGCAAAACAAAAATAGCCCCACACGTCTAGAAAAGGAAAAACAAAGGGTAACTTTGATAACATTTCATGGCCAATGGCCAAATCTTCATGTCAAGGGAATAAAATCTCCCTCTGCCATTCAATGAAAGAGAATTAACCTCAATTAACACCCCTGAAGCAGAAGAGAGGTTGCACCCGTGTGACCTGAGGCCGTGGAGAAGCTTCCAGAATGGAATGGCAGCACTGGGATTGTGAGGGTGGAGTTTGGATAGAAGTGTGTGATATCACAGGGTGGGAAACTCAGAGTTTAAGGGTTTAGAATATAGCAATATATATATATAACAAGATGGAGGTTTTAGGGCAGAGGCTGGTCCTTCTTCACCTTCTTCTTCATGGGTTTGGGTGGCTTTGTGTAACTGGATAAAAAAAGTCCACATTGCAGGCCACAGGTAGTTAGTCATTAAGTTAAAAGTAAAAATAATTTAAGTATAATTTCTTAATTAAACAGTTCATCTTTAAAAAAACCTTTTAAAGAAGGAGATACAACTCAATTTTTTAGTTTATTAGCGTGAAATACTATAAAACTCAAAAAATACCATCTCACATATTTAATCCCGACCCTTAAAAAAAAAAAAATCAATATTAATATTAAGATGCTGAAGAAAGAAGAAGCCAAGAATCCACATAGTTGCATTGCAGCTGAGGACTACCCTAGGTCCCCACAGCTGCTGGTGGTGTTTGTGGCTGTACTCTGGATGGGCTGGGTGAGAGTTATAAAAAACAGTTTATACCACGGGGTGAGAGTTATAAAAAACAAGTCAGCAGGGCAGGGTTCACAGCAGTTGGTGCAAGAGCTGAGCGTGATCGTCTCACCTTGTGGGAAAGAAAACTCAGTCTGGGAAGACTTTGACTTTCTTTTCAAGAATTCCTTCAAAAGATGTAAAAAATCCAATTTTTTGGATTTTTGAAATTTCCTGGTGAGGGTTTTGGTGCTGCTGATGCAAATGAGCTCATAAGCAAAACTGGGTGAGAGTTTCCACTGGTCAGATTGGAGGGTTGTGATCCCTGGGAAAGGCACATTTTTACAACTCCTTTCCATGAAAATCCTGGAGCTTTTCCATGAAAAACCAGAGCTAGGGGATGAGTGGCTGTTGAGGAATGCACTCAGTGCATATGCTCAGGCTCTGGGGGGTGACAAGGGGATGTGAGCTGGTGTTGGAATCTGTGGTATTGATGATCCCAAAATTGTAGAAAGTCTCTGTATTTCAGCCCCGCTGCCAAAGCAGAAGCCATAATTGGTCTGTGCTGGTTTCAAGGTTGTTTATTCTGTTTATCTCTAACATGTTCTGCTGCCCTGCCGCAGCTCTGTCCTGCAGGGCAGCGTGTGGGGCTCTGCCCCTCAGTGGGATGGTACAAACATTAAATACCAGAAACTACCTGTGCTGGATTTACAATAACGTGCCAATATCTGTCACCTACGTTGGACAGTGTGTCCCCAGCCTGAGCCAACAGAAAAATGCCAACACCACAGTGAAACATGGAGGGCATGAAGAAGGAGAAAAAGGACAAGGCACACCCAATTTCCTCCATCTTGTCCCTTTTGGGTCCCTAATCTAGAATCCTAAAATTTTACTTTTGCACCTGTGCCACACTTAATTATTACTGATATCAAACACTCAGAGCTGGTAATTCATCCTGTAAGATTGAAAACTCTTTTCCATGGACAGAGATCACAGCCAGTGTCTCTGGGGGCTCTGTCCAGGGGGGTTCCTGACCCCTGCCAGGGTCCCAGGGCAGCCAGAGGGAAGCCCTGGATTCCCACAAGCTGGCGCTGACCAGCAAAGGGACAGGGACCTGTGGTCCAGCCAAGTGACCAGACACTCAGAGCCATGGCAGGAGCTGAGGAATCCAGAATTTTCCTTTGCCTCCTGAGGGGCACAAGCTCGAGCTGTTGTTTTATTATTTCATTATTGCACTGAGATTAAATTATTTTTAGGATTGAGACATTTGAGGCGCTGCCATGGGAAGCCTGGAGTGAGTGGTCTGACCCTGTGAGTGTGGGGTGGAGGTGGGAAGGAATTCCCAGCTCAGGAATTGTGAGTTCCAGAGCAGCTCCGGGGTGGTCAGACAGGGAATTTTCCCTGACAGGCTGATTTGTAGGATCATCCCACGGAGCCTTGCCAGGTCCCTGCCTCAGGGAGCTCTTTGTGCACTCCCTGAGGCACAGCACCAAAGGATCCTTCCCATCCAGCACCAGGACAAGGATGTGATCCTAAAGCATCCCTTCCTTGGGGCAGGGAGAACACCAAGGGCTGGACACAGCATCTGGATTTCCAAAAGAATTCACCACCCCACATCCAAGCTCATGCTTTAGGGGTTGTCTCTTTTCAAGTGCTTTGAAGGTCTGAAAAGCAATTTTTGGGCTGGGTTATCACCGCTGTCTCCTCACTGCCATCATCAGTGGTATTGGCAAAACCAGGTTCAATATAAATTTTATAGGATTATGGAAAAGTTTGGGTGGGAAGGGATCTTAAAATAATTTTTTTCCACCCCTGCCATGGCAGGGACACCTCCCACTGTCCCAGGCTGCTCCAGCCCCAGTGTCCAACATTTCCTTGGACATTCCAGGGATCCAGGGGCAGCCCCAGCTGCTCTGGCAATCCCAGCCCAGCCAGGAATTCCTCATTCCCAAGATCCCATCCATGGCTGCCCTCTGGCAGTGGGAGCCATTCCCTGTGTCCTTGTTCTCCAGGTGCTCCCCTGGAGAGGAGAAGGATCCAGGTAGAGCTTCCAGCACATTCCAGGGCCTGAAGGGGCTCCAGGAGAGCTGCAGAGGGACTGGGGACAAGGGACAGAGGGACAGGACACAGGGAATGGCTCCCACTGCCAGAGGGCAGCCATGGATGGGATCTTGGGAATGAGGAATTCCTGGCTGGGCTGGGATTGCCAGAGCAGCTGGGGCTGCCCCTGGATCCCTGGAATGCCCAAGGAAATGTTGGACACTGGGGCTGGAGCCCCCTGGGACAGTGGGAGGTGTCCCTACCATGGCAGGGGTGGCACTGGATGATCCTTAAGATCCTTTCCAAGTCATTCTATGATTCCATGATTTCCCATAAGTAATCAGGAAGTTTCCACCCAAGCTGGAAATTACTGGAGGGTTTTTTTTTTCAAAGCTCTGCTAACAATGGTACTTTTCCACTTGGGATGATTCCAGGCTGTGATATTCCAAAGCCTTCAGGAAATAAGGGATTATCTCTCATTCCTCACCTTGCTCAGGCAACTGAGGCTCTTGATATGGACAATTCTCCCACCTTTTCCATGCACAAGTCCCTGGTGTGGTCGAGGGATGTTCCCTGCCCAGCTGGTTTGGTCAAGGGACACTTCACCATCCAGGTGGGAATTCCTGAGGCCGCCCAGCAGCTCCAGGGAAGGGGAAGCTGGAGGGATGCAGCACCACAAGTGGAAGTGGTTGAGGAGTTCCAGGTTTCTCCATGGATGTGGCTCATGGAAGGGGTTGTGTTGTTGGATGTGATTCTTGAACTGGAGATTTCTGGGTAAAAAAAGCTGGATTTTAAGTCAGGACTAGAGATTAGTCCAGTGTCCAAAGGGAGACAAACACCTATCCTGGAAGGATCCATCTCCTTCCAGGGCAAAAATATTCCTTTGCATTCATTTTCCAGAAACAGAAAGCAAAACTCTGCCTCAAGGAGCAGAATGGGCCAAACTCCACTTTTTGTTTTCCTGTGAGGATTTAAGCAGGACTTAATTAATTTCTTATCAGCTCTCACAGGTTCTTGCCCAGAGTGCATAAAACATACTCAGGATGTGAGTTCATTTTCTCAGAAGTATTTGTGATTAATCCCTAATAATTCCATGTGCTCGGGGAAAATGATCCCAAAAAATAGTTTATAAAGCTCAGGTTGGCAGCCTGGGATGGTTTCTCATCAGGTTAATTACTTCCATTTTAATTACCTACTATTAATCCAGCAAGAAGCAGTTGCTGGGCCTGGATTCTGTCTCAAAGCAGCGCTGCACATTGTGCTTGGAGGCACCTGGAAAAGTCAAAATATTGCCTTGGTGTCACTGTTGAGGCAGGATGGGAATGAGAGACTCTGACCAGAAAGCTGCATGAGAGTAAAACTCAGATTTATTCAAAATACACGGATCTTTTATACAGAGCTTTGTGAGGACCAGCTCCTTTGGTTCTGAAGTGAAAACAACTCACAGCATTGGTGCAAAGTGATAGAACTTAACTATAAACAATGTGAAAAACAAGAGAGATAAAGAATTATTTACATTCTTTTCCAACTCTTTCCCAGGCTTCTGCCTGGCTAGAAACTCTCTGTTTCTTTCTTTGACTGAATCTGAGACCCACACCTTGGAAATGAAGAGGGGTGGAAAAAGGAAAAAATTCCTATGGTAACATTTTGTGTTATGGGAATTATGGATTTTTAAATTTTTTTTAATGAGAGGAGGAGGACAAGGAGGAGAAGGGGAAGAAGGAAAAGAAGGAGAGAAGGAGGAGGAGAAGGGGAAGGAGAAAGAGAAGGAGGAGGAGAGAAGGAGGAAGAGGAGAAGGAGAAGGAGAAGAGGAGAAGTAGGAGAAGGAGAAGGAGGAGGAAAGAATGAGGAGAAGGAGAAGGAGAGAAGGAGGAGAAGGAGAAGGAGAAGGAGAAGAAGGAGAGAAGGAGGAGGAGAAGGGGAAGGAGGAGGAGGAGAAGGAGGAGGAGAAGAAGGAGAGAAGAAGGAGAAGGGGAAGGAGGAGGAGAAGAGGAGAAGGAGGAGATCCAATCCTAAGCATTGCAGTCAACGTCATGCACTCATAAAAGCTAAAATACACCACATGTAACACTTGCTACAGTTTTACAACTGAAATTTTCCTCTTTTGGCTCTGGAATTTGGTAGAATCGGTAAAAACAAGGTGTCTTTGCTGCCCAACAGACCACCCAGGCTGTGGGAAGGAGCCACTGCTGCATTTATGGCCTCGGGCTGGAGCAATTCCAGCCTTTCCAGAGCTTTCCAAGGGAAATGTGTCCCTGCTGGAGTGGCAGAAGTGTGACCCCACAGCTGAGGAATCCAGCAGGAACCAGAGGAGCATCAGGGTGGGCTGTGCTCACCTCAGGGGATCTCCGGTGGGATTTTTTGGAACTTCAGCTCCTTTTTGGTGCGAGAGGGGAAAGCAGCTGTGAAACCACCCCGGGGGATTTTGGCCACGGGGTTGCTCGAGGTCTCAGCGTCTAGTTTGGGGACTTCCAGTTCTCAGATGTTTTTGAGAACCAACCTTTTCCCAAAGAGAATCAGCAGATTTTGGTCCCGAGCCTTTATTTGATCCAATTAAATTATTCGAGGACGGAAGAGCGCTGAACAAAACATGAGGTTGTGAAAATTGCAGCTGGAGGCTTGGACACATCTCCTTTTCCCTGCAAATAACATTCCCAGAGGGATTCTCCTGAAAAAAAAAGTGAATTCAGACCTTTTTGCATTCTCTGAGGGTGAGAAGGAAGAGGGAAGATTTTCCACCCTGACTTTCTAGGAATAAATAAACATCCATCACGTGGGATTTGGTTCCTTTTCCCCTTCTATAATTAATTCCAGTCAGCTGGGGAAACCCTTTCCTTTTAAAGTTTATCTTTCCTTTTTAAAGTTTATCTTTATAAAGTCTAAAGTTTGTATTCCTTTTTAAAGTTTATCTTTAAAGTCAGTAATTATCAAATTCCACTTGGCTCTGCTGTCAAGAGCTGGGAATTATGATAGGCTGGGAATCTTGAATATAAACCTGTGCTAAATCACTGGGAAAACTTGTAAATAAACCCAAATATTCCCCTTGGAATTAAAGCTGTGATGTTCTCCTTGACCTCTACAAGCACTTGAAGGAAACAATGTGTTAAAGAGGAAGAAAAACTGCAGGAAAAACTTGTTTGTGAGATTTGTTTTGGGATTTGTTTTGGAACAGTTCCTCTGCCTGCAGGTGGCTGAGATTGCAAAACCTCAAGTTGTAGGTGGAAAACCCAAATTTGGGAACGTGGCAGCAACAGCTTTGAGCTCCTGGAAGTGGGAGGAAGGCTGGAAAGCATCCACAGCCTGTCCCTGGGGTGACAAATCCTGGGAATAAATGTCCTGCTCCTGCTGCCCACCCACAGAAAAGCATCTCCCGAAGGCTCCTGGGCTAAAAAAAGGTTGGGGCTCCAAAATTGGGGGGTTTTGGTGGTTCTGTCCCCACCATGTTTTTGGGGGTGTAGTAAAATGTGAGGAAGGACAGAGTAACCTCAGTGGAGAGGCTAATAAAATATAATAATAATATAATAATAATATAATAATAATAAATAAAAATAATAAATAATATTCAACAATAATAAAAATAGAAAATAATATAAAGTAATAAAATTATTACATTCTATTACATTCTATTACATTCTATTACATTCTATTACATTCTATTACATTATATTAATTATATTATATTATATTATATTATATTATATTATATTATATTATATTATATTATATTATATTATATTATATTATATTATATTATCATACCATATAATATTATCACATTATAATATATTACATTACATAATATATTGCAATATGTAATATATCTAATATCATACATAGTATATAATATATAACATATTTAATATATAATACTATGTAATATAATATAACTTATACTAAACAATATCATAAACACAACATTTAATGTATTGCAATATAAAACATGTTATATATTATAATAATGCATGTAATAAGTACTATATATAATATTTAATATAATATATAATACATCTAACTTGAACAATAATATAAAAATATATAACTGTATATTAGGTAAAAATATATAATTTATATTATATATTTTAATTATATGTATTATACATATAATATATAAAAATATATGTATAATATGTATAACATATATAATACTTAATGTTATATGTGATATAGTATATATAACATATAAATATATTTTAAAATAATAGATAATATATTATATCTCACATTTCATTTTAGGAAATACACCCATCTTCTACTCCCTTTGTTTCGGAAACCCATTTGTTGTTGGTGTTTAGAGGAGTAAAATAAAATCCTTCCCTTACAAGCCTCTGCTCCAAGGAAAAACCACTGGAATTTTTCCCCACCCGGGGCACAAATCCACAAATTTTCCCTTGGAAAAACCCCAGTTTGCTCTGCATTTCCCTGTCGCTGGGGTTTGGAATGCAGCAAAAAATTCCCACTTGGAAGAACAAGGGAAAAGTGGGGCAGTTTTAGATAGAAGTTGCTAAATCATTCAGTGAAATCATATCTGAGATCTTTCAGCATTGCCAATTTTCTTTCCCAGTTTCCCACTGGAAAACCTATAGCATCAAATCTAGAATTTTAACATTTTAAACTCAAAAAACCCTTTAAAAGATCCCTAACACTCTTCAAAAAACAAACAAACAAACAAACACATTATACTCCAAAAAACCTTTTTATTATACTCCAAAAAACCCTGGTTTTCCTCACACAAAACACCTCACCTTGGTTTTGTAATCTCAGCCACCTGCAGGAATAGTTCCAAAATAAATATATCAAAATATACCCATTTCTAACCCCAAAATGAAACAACTAAAAAGCATTTTAAGAACTTTCATTCCATTTTCAATCTCACAGAAAAATTAAAACAATAGAATAAAAAATTACAACTGGAGAGTTACTTGTGAATTCCTTTCGAGTTACACACGAGTAACTTGAAAAATTAATGGGAATCCTTTTTTTCTTCCATGGGCACAAAGGTTTTTCTGCCTTGAGAGTTAACTCCGTTAACTTGTTAACATGTGCGATACATGGGAATTAATTTTATTTTTTGCCAAGGGGCTGAGTGCTTGGTTTTTTATGGGAATTAAATCTGAGTTCCGTAGGAGTTACTTGGGACTTAGCCCGGCTTTTGCCAAAGGCCCCAGAGGGTGGGATTGTCATTTGAATTCTGTGTGAATTCGATGGAAATTCAGTGTCAATTTGATGGAAATTTCGTGGAATTCGATGTGAATTCCGCGTGAATTCAATGGAAATTCCGTGTGAATTGGATGTGAATTCCGCGTTAATTTGATGGAAATTCTGTGTGAATTCGATGGAAATTCCATGTGAATTGGATGTGAATTCCATGTGAATTTGATGGAAATTCCGCATGAATTCGATGGAAATTCCGTGTGAATTTGATGTGAATTTGTGGAAATTCTGTGTGAATTCGATGTGAATTCCGTGTGAATTCAATGGAAATTCCGCGTGAATTGGATGTGAATTCGATTTGAATTTGTGGAAATTCCGCATGAATTCGATGGAAATTCCGTGTGAATTGGATGTGAATTCCGTGTGAATTCGATTTGAATTTGTGGAAATTCCACATGAATTCGATGGAAATTCCATGTGAATTTGATGTGAATTTGTGGAAATTCTGTGTGAATTCGATGTGAATTCCGTGTGAATTCAATAGAAATTCCACGTGAATTCAATGGAAATTCCGCGTGAATTGGATGTGAATTCCGTGTGAATTCGATTGAAATTCCATGTAAACCCCACACGAGTCCCCGTTTCTTGGCATGCAGATAGTTTTATTTATTTATTTGTTTGTTTATTTATTTATGTATTTGTTTTTATTTGTCTCCGCCCGCCAGCGGAACCTCACTCCCCTCACAAAATAACGACGCGGCTCCTTTAAGACGCGCCCTCGCTCTGGCCCCGCCCCTTCAGCGCGCGGGTGGGGGCGTGGCTTGAACAGGCACAAGGCCCTGGGGTTGATTGACAGCGCGGCTGTCCAATCAGATGTCAGAGAGAGGGGTGGGGCGGGGCTTCCGGCGGGGCAGTTGAGGCGGCGGCGCTCGGAGGGACGGGGGAGAGGGAGCGGGGCCGCCATGATCAAGAAGTTCGATAAAAAGGACGAGGAGTCCGGTACGGGGGGGCTGGGGGTGAGGGGAGGGGTGCTGGGGCGAGGAGAGGGCTGAGGTGTGCTGGGGTGACAGCGGGGGAAGAGGTGAGGGGGATGCTGAGGTGACAGCGGGGTGGAGATGAGGGAGACGCTGAGGGGTGAGGGAGACGCTGAGGGGTGAGGGAGACGCTGAGGGGTGAGGGAGACGCTGAGGGGTGAGGGAGATGCTGAGGGTGACACTGAGGTAAGGGTGACACTCAGGTGAGTGGGATGCTGAGGTGAGGGCGATGATGAGCTGAGGAGAAGCTGAGGTGAAATAGAATTCCCAGAGAAGCTGTGGCTGCCCCTGGATCTCTGCAAGTGTCCAAGGGCAGGCTGGGATAGTGGAAGGTGTCCCTGCTGATGACAGGAGGTGGAACTGAATGATCCTTAAATCTCCTTCAGAGCCATCCTGTGGTTCTGTGATCCTTCTCAGCTCGTGGGGTATTTGTGTTTCAGCTGTAAGAAGCGACTGCCAAAATATTTTTCCCCTCTTGTGGCAAATCTGAAAGAACTGGGGTCTGTTTGCTCTCCCTTTATGATTTTTAGAGAGGATTTTATCCCTGTCTCTGCTCAGTGCAGATGTATCATCCCTCAAAAAATGAGAGAGAGTTGATTACATGTGTTTTTATACATATACTAAACCTATATAACATAACACACATACCCTATATATTTCTATAATAAACCCTAAATGATAATCCTAACCCTGAACGGTGAGCTGATGTTTGGAAAGAAAAGAAACCTCTCTTTTTAGTCATTTTGCTGCACAAAGCAAAATCCAAAAGGTTTCAGAGGAGCCTTTCCAGACCTTCTCTGTCTGGGCTGTGCTTGCACATCTGGAATTCACACCAGGGACTTATATTGGTATTATCAGTTGTGAGTTTTATGGTATTTTATTAATAAATTATAAAATGGTTAATTAATTTTTAGTATCAGGTTGTTTAAGGTTTAACTATTTAATTAAGAAATTATATTTATTTTTTTTTACTTTTAATTTAATAACTAATTATATGGAGTTTGTAATGTGGACTTTTTTGTTTAATTACAAAACATTATTTAAACTTGTGAAGAAGTAGGTAAAGAAGAAGGATTAGTTGCTGTTCTAAAACTTTCATTTTCATTTTATATACATTTTGTATTTTAAAACTTTAAACTCTAGGTTTTTCACTTAGTGGTATTACACACTTCTAATTAAACCATACACTTGTGTTCTCAATGTTATTAATTAATTTTGGAAGTTTTTTCTATGGTTTTAGGTTAAATGTCGTGCTCTCCTGGGGGCTGGAGTTTGCCAGCACAGAAAGTTTCAAATTCTCAGCATCCCGCTCAGCCAGTGGGAGGTGTCCCTGGGAATTCCCTTCCAAAGGCCTGGAAGTGAAATCCAGTTTCCCTACAATAACTGCTGCTGCTCTGAGCTCCAGATGTGCCCAGCTGGGCTCGAGTTTGTTCCATTTGCAATTTCCTTCTGCTTGGGGTGTGAGAACTGGGGAACAAGTCAGCTGGAAATGAGGAATTCCTGCTTGGGAGGAGAGGATCAGGAGCAGAAGTGAGCCTGTGGATGGGACTGATGTGGCTGAGAAGTTTTGTTTCACATCCTAATCTGCATCTCTGCTTTTGGTGCCTGAAGGAATAAAAACAGGTGCATTAAAAAAGTAGAAAAAGGAATTAGTTCTATGTAAAGGCCATTTAGGTATTAAAAATATTAAGTATATAAAAGGCATTTTAAATAGCAAACAATTTTCTTCTTTGTCTCTTTATTTATTTTATTTTTTACCTTTATTCTTTCTGTAACTCTGAATATACCACTTAAGAAAGTGGATTCGAAGCTGTTGATGGCCAGCATCAGTTATTCAGAGAGGAATGTCACTGGTTTGAGGTTG